ATTAAAACCTTTCTCGATTAAAACTTATCTCGATTAAAACCTTTTTCGATTAAATCCTTTCCCGATTAAAACCTTTCTCGATTAAAACTTATCTCGATTAAAACCTTCCTCGATTAAAACCTATCTCGATTAAAACCTTTCTCGATTAAAACCTATCTCGATTAAAACCTTTCTCGATTAAATCCTTTCTCGATTAAAACCTATCTCGATTAAAACCTTTTTCGATTAAATCCTTTCCCGATTAAAACCTTTCTCGATTAAAACTTATCTCGATTAAAACCTTCCTCGATTAAAACCTATCTCGATTAAAACCTTTCTCGATTAAAACCTATCTCGATTAAAACCTTTCTCGATTAAATCCTTTCTCGATTAAAACCTATCTCGATTAAAACCTTTTTCGATTAAATCATGATTAAAACCTTTCTCGATTAAAACCTTTCTCGATTAAAACCTACCTCGATTAAAACCTATCTCGATTAAAACCTTTCTCGATTAAAACCTATTTCGATTAAAACATATCTCGATTAAAACCTATCTCGATTAAAACCTTTCTCGATTAAAACCTACATCGATTAAAACCTACATCGATTAAAACCTTTCTCGATTAAAACCTTTCTCGATTAAAACCTACATCGATTAAAACCTTTCTCGATTAAAACCTTTCTCGATTAAAACCTATCTCGATTAAAACCTATCTCGATTAAAACCTATCTCGATTAAAACCTACCTCGATTAAAACCTTTCTCGATTAAAACCTACATCGATTAAAACCTTTCTCGATTAAAACCTTTCTCGATTAAAACCTACATCGATTAAAACCTTTCTCGATTAAAACCTTTCCCGATTAAAACCTTTCCCGATTAAAACCTTTCTCGATTAAAACTTATCTCGATTAAAACCTTTCTCGATTAAAACCTATCTCGATTAAAACCTATCTCGATTAAATTATGTCTTAGAGATAATCAGATGTGTCATTGATGGTATAAGAAATGGAACATATATGTTTATTATTTGGTTCTCTGCCTAGCATAATTAAGACACAAATATTTAATGTTGAATATTCTTGAGTCCTTATGAGTCCTTGTGAGTTATATGAGTCCATGTGAGTCCTTGTGAGTCCTTGTCAGTCCTTGTGAGACCTTGTGAGTCCTTATGCGTCCTTGTGAGTCCTTGTGAGTCCTTGTTTGTCCTTATGCGACCTTGTGAGTCCTTGTCAGCCCTTGTTAAGCCTTGTGAGTCCTTATGAGTCCTTGTGAGTCCTTGTGAGTCATTATGAGTCCTTGTGGGTCCTTGTGCGTCCTTATGCGACCTTGTGAGTCCTTGTGAGTCCTTATGCGGATGTTGTAGCACTGTTGTACAAGAACAGAAGAATCGACCCAGAAGAATGTGAGTTCAGTATTGACGGATATGATTTATCTATGAACCTTTCTCAAGTAACTTGCAAGAGGGATGTGGTTATCTATGCTAGGCAAGACCTTAGAACCATCTAGGTGAGGGTACAGGGAGAGGATGTTTTTGAAGAGTCCAAGTGGCGTAAAATTAAATTAAAGGGGAGAGACTTACTCACTGTCGGGTGTATCTACAGATCCCCAGACTGTAGCTTATTAAACCAAAGGAACTTAAGAGCCTTAATAGACAGTGCAGCGATGCTCAACGCTAGCACCTCTTTATCATGAGGGACTTTAACTATGGCGACATCGACTGGAGAAATGAATCCACGCCAAATTACATAAATAACCCTGCTACTCTTTTTGTAGAAACTCTGAGAGATAATTTTCTGTTCCAACATGTTAAGGACCCTACACATTACAGAGGGCAGCAAACACCCAAGCCACTAGACCTCATCATAACAAACGAGGAGGGTATGGTAGCCAAACTGGAGCACCTTACCCCAGTTGGCACCAGCCACCATGTAATGTTGGCCTTCACATTTAACTGCGACTTAGTTCACGACAAAACCAGGCCAAGATTCAAATATTACAATGGAAATTACGTTGGGGGAGGAGATGAGGGGTATCCGCTGGCCTGACTCACAAAGGTATGAGAACGCAGGCACTACGCTGAATATCATAGCCAGTAAAGTCAACCATATGATCGATAAATATATATCCAAGACCAAACCCAGTGCCTCTAGGAATACATGGAGACCCCTACACATGAACCATGAGGCGGTCGGCAAAGTTTAGAAGAAAACCCAGAAATTCAAGGCGTGAGTTAGGTCAAACAATGAGCAGGACAGGAGGATGTATGCAAGATCCAGGAACCAAGCAAAGTCAGAGTGTAGAAGGGCTGAAAAGGAATTCCAAAGGCTGGTTGCAAGCGAGGTCAAATCAAACCCAAAGGCGTTTTACCGATATGCAAACTCGAAATTAAAAACACGAGTAGGAGTATTGGACCTGAGGCTTCAAGATGGTAGTTACGCAGAATTTGACCAGGACAAAGCAGAGGCATTGAAAAGTTTCTTTTCCTCGGTGTTCACAAAAAAGGGTGCGAACAATCTTCCTGCGTTTGAGGACAGACGGTTCGACACAGCGCTGACCCACATTGTTTTCTCTGAAGAGGTTATGAGATATAAAAAGTCAAAGCTAAAGGTTCACAAGAGTCCCGGCCCTGACATGGTGCATCCCAGATTGCTAAGAGAGTTGTGCAATGAGCTTGCTAAGCCCTGAAGATCCTGTTCTGTAAATGCCTGGATGAGCAAAAGGTCCCAAGCGATTGGAAAATGGCTTATGTGAGTCCTATTTTCAAGAAGGGCGATCGTCACTCTGCGAATACCTATAGACCGGTGAGCCTGACCAGCATAGTGTATAAAGTACTTGAGGGCATTATAAGAGATGCCATGATGGAACATTTACTACGAAACAACATGTAAAAGACTGCCAGCACGGTTTTATGCCAGGACGCTTCTGCTTAACACAATTACTCAAGGTACTGGATGTTTAGGCCCAAATTCTCGAGCAGGGTGGTAATATCGACAATATAAACCTAGATTTTGCCAAGGCTTTCGACAGCGTACCCCATGAAAGGCTGATAAATGGTACGAAATCGTCATGTGTACCTGTGACTAGCGGGGTGCGACAGGGCAGTGTATTGGGCCCGCTGTTGTTTCTGTTTCATTAATGACATGCCAGAAGCTGTACATTCCTCCATACAAATGTTTTCGGACAATGCCAAGTTATTTAGAGAAATTAAGAACCGAACAGACTGTGAAGAGCTGCAGAAAGATCTCTATGAGCTTCAAGAATGGTCGAGGAAATGCTGCGAAAATTCAACGTCACGAAGTGCAAAAGGATGCACCTGGGTCACACCAATAGTAAGGAGGCGCATCACATGTCCCAACAGTACGAAGAGACTGCATTAATTGAGACTTAAATTCTCGGGCCATTGTGAGAAAAGGGTAAATCAAGCAACGAAACCTGTAGGTTTTACAATAAGGTCGTTCAGATATCTAGATGGTCCGTCACTCGTCACGATCTTCATGAGTGAGGTGCTTCCCTGCCTGGAGTATTGTCACCCCGTCTGGTCCCCGAGGTATGCTAGAGATTGTCAATTGTTTGAAAATATCCAAAGGAGGGCCACCAGACTGGTGCCTTCTCTACGGAACCTCAGTTACCCAGAGATTGGAGCGCCTGCAACTACCGAGGGATATACTACAGACGGGCGAGGGGTGACCTAATCGAAGCATATATACATCTCAGGGAGTACTACTCGGTCGAATGTCCGCCCCATAAGGGGTCACAGCTGAAGGTTGAAGAAGCCACAAGTCCAAAAAACTGTGAGGGCAATTTTTTTCGGATTGAGAATTGTGAACTTTTGGAACAATCTGCCAGAGAGCGTTGTGACGGTACTGGAGCAGGTTCCGATATATTCAGGAACCAGTGCATGCCCAGTACTTGCCAACAATGCGTAACAGAGACGTGAGAGACGTGACCCGTCGCCCAAGCAGCTAACGAGCCTATCAGTGGTGAAGAGGATAAAAGTCAAAGTTATGAGTCCTTGTGTGAGTCCTTATTAGTCCTTGTGAGTCCTTGTAAAGTCCTTATGAAGTTGGTAAAAAATCTGTACTGGCATCACTTTGCCTCCTTCGCAACTTAATAGAATGATAGATAATAAGTAAAATCATTATACACGTTCATATCCCGTTCTTTTGTTACATTATGGAAACGTAAAATTCTTTTTACTTTGAGAACTTTGAGTTAAAAAAAAAGTGGTCAATTTGAGATATGTCAGAAATGGCGACACATACAGGGATAATTTTGTTCAATGCGTCGTGTAGAGAACATATCATTAACTTATTTTATATCACCAATTGTATTTTAATATTTTTTTTAATTAACTCTACTGGTAAAAAACAAAGTTTAATCAGGAGTAAATTTGCTAAGAAAAATTATCGTTGTTAAAAAATCCTCCCCGACAGTGGCTCGTCAAGCGGCTGGAGTGTAAAAAAAAAATCATTACGCCTATTTCGTCTTTCATCACATTGTGCGAAAACAGCCGATTATTAAAAAAAAACCAATTTATATATAGTTAGTAGGTTATTGACATTAAACTTTAGATATCTAGGGCTAATTTCTCAAAGCAATACATTGGTTATTTTGTAGTAAAAGATAACGATTTGCCTACTTAAGGGAATAGTTTCGCTTTGGTTCTCCGTTAAGATCGATAGCGATAACTACAACTTTACACCAGTTTTACACCACCTTAACGTTATATAATTATCTTATGATAGTTTTAGATTAGATTTATTTATTCGTGAAAGTTTCTGTTTTAAGGTCTGACTCAGGAGCCTGTGGGTGAAGGAGCCTGTGGGTGAAGGAGCCTGTAGGTGAAGGAGCCTGTGGGTGAAGGAGCCTGTAGGTGAAGGAGCCTGTAGGTGAAGGAGCCTGTGGGTGAAGGAGCCTGTAGGTGAAGGAGCCTGTGGGTGAAGGAGCCTGTGGGTGAAGGAGCCTGTAGGTGAAGGAGCCTGTGGGTGAAGGAGCCTGTGGGTGAAGGTGTGCCTGGTGAGAAGGTATTGGCAACAGTGGCCGCGTTCAACAGACGTAAAGGGAACGGGAGGCAGCAACAGGTGTCATATATACTCCACTATGTCTCGTCCTCATCACGACCCCGGGGAAGTTAAATACGTGTATGATCTACCTTATACGGCGAGGAAGAAGTTATGTACTATACTCGATTCAAATAATGACTGGGAGAGGCTGGGTATGTAATGACGTCTCTTGTGATTAGAGAAATGGCGTAGGCTGTGATAATTGTTTCTCTCTATTTTTGACAATTTTAATTACTTTTATGATTTGCAGTTATTGTATTTTGATCCTAAAATTAGTATTTTTTTTAGTTATACTTAAGACGTCTAACTCTAAGGAAGGAGCCACTTTAGGATAGTATTCTATAGAAGAAAACTTTTTTTTATCATGAAGAGAAAGATATAACTTTTCCTATTTTTGGTTTTCCCTCCTATTGTTAAGGGTTATATGGTGTTTTGCTGTTTAAGTTGGTCTTCCATCTGTTGACAATATAAATAATTATAAACAAAACAAGTTAACCCTAACCAACCTACTTAACCTAACCTAATCTAAAATAGGTCATAAAATAAAGTACGACTAGACTGTTGTGTGTCTTTACCACCAACTTGAGGAAAGGTCATTTTATAGTTGTGCATATTTCTCTGGGTATTAGAAATACGTGTAAAAACCATAGAAAATCACCAAAAATCAACCTAACCTAACCTAATCAGGGGGAGGGGGGTCCAGGCAGTCCGACTAATTACCCAAATGTAGCCAAATATAGTTGCAATGAAGTCAGATAATGGTCCTACATGAATAAATCGGACTGCTAATCACTTCTCGACTAGTATTTGATGTCAGAAAGTCACAAAAAATTGGAAAACTTACTTTAATCTGAGTTAATAGATCGCGTGCATGTACCGATGGAGCGAGGAGTTACCCAAATGTACCCCAATGTAGCCGCAATGAAGTCAAATGATGGTCGTACAAGCGTAATTCGGGCTGTGAATCACTTCTCGATTATTATTTGGTGTCATAAAGTAAAAAATAAATTGGTAAACTTAATTTAATCTGAGTTGTGTTAGGTTAGGTTAGGTTAGATTAGATTAGATTAGGTTAGGTTAGATTAGATTAGATTAGATTAGGTACATGCACTTGATCTATTAACTCAGATTAAATTAAGTTTACCAATTTTTTGTGACTTCGTGACACCAAATACTAGTCGAGGTTAGGTTAGGTTAGGTACATGCACTCGATCTATTAACTCAGATTAAATAAAGTTTACCAATTTTTTGTGACTTTGTGACACCAAATACTAGTCGAGAAGTGATTGGCAGTCCGATTTATTCATCTAGGACCATTATTTGACTTCATTCCGGCTATATTTGGGTACATTTGGGTAATTCTCGCTCCGTCGGTACATGCACTCGATCTATTAACTCAGATTAAATAAAGTTTACCAATTTTTTGTGACTTTGTGACACCAAATACTAGTCGAGAAGTGATTGGCAGTCCGATTTATTCATCTAGGACCATTATTTGACTTCATTCCGGCTATATTTGGGTACATTTGGGTACATTTGGGTGATTAGTCAGACCCGGGGGCAGCCCTAATTTGGTTAGGTTAGAACGCTGCACTAATATAAAAAGACCTGAGGAAATTTCTTCGGTCAACTTGTAGTTTCAACCAACCGCGGCTCTCGAGTTGAGCAATGTGTTTTCCGATGGTTTAGACACTATTAAAACACTTTTCGTTGTGACGTTTCCCTCGCAAATGACTTAAATATACCGGAGATCCAGGGGGGCAGAACCCCCCGTTAGGAGGCTAGAATAAGTAATTTTAGGTCATTTTCGAGGGAAACGTCATAGAAGAAAGGTGTCTTAAAATTATCTAAATCATCGGGAAAACACAATGCTCAACTCAAGAGCCGTGGTTGGTCGAAACTACAAATTGACCATTTCTTCATTAACGATAAAAGATTTCTTACCTCAATAAAATGAGTCGATTACTGATATCTAAAAAAAAAAAAAAAGCTTTTAATCCTAGGAAGTTAAATCAGGTTAGGTCAGTCGGGTTTGTTTATCTATCCACATCACTATAGGAGAAATACTGGCTCCTTCCCGTGAGGATGACGTCTTTGGTATTATAAACATAAATTTATTGCTTGCTAGTTTGAATGTCAACAAGGAGTAACATTCTAGAACAGGGGCCGAGTTAACCAGTTGTTTAATGCAAAATCTCAGTAGAAAATAAATATTTCTTACATCAAGACTAAACCAAATCAGATGGAGGATTTGTACTTTTAATATTTTATGTTTCCCCGATCATAAAGACAGTGCCCATCCATCCAGTGATGCCGTATTTGGGGTTGAACTGAACAAATACTTTTCAACAACTGAGTGAAGGCTGAGCAAAAGAACACTTCCCAGAGATCCTGTTAAAATTCGTTTTTATTGCAACTTAACCTAATCTAACCTACTATTGCCACACACCTATAGGGGGTGGGGTGGGGGGGGGCTTTGCCTTCCCTCTAGCGATTCCTAACCAAAAAAATAATCCTAGTGATAATGGTAAAAAATCGAAAATACCTTTTGGGATAAAAACAAATGTTAACCCAGAGACCTTTCCATGTGATGTGAAATTTTACCATTTTAACCTTCCCAGCACAACTTAATGTAATCTCATCTAACCTACCTAACCAAACCTAACATACACTGGAAATCTTTTTGTGTATGGAAAGTATATGTACTGGGAAGTGTCAATGAGTTCCCCCAAACTTGTATACAGTGACCCCTCGTTTAACGAACACCTCGGTTAACGTAATTTCGATTAACAAACTGCCTTCCATAAGGATCTTCAATTCGGTTAACGAAAAAAAATTCGGTTAACGAAGTTCTTACGAACCGACCTCAACATGTTTTCGCTTGCACTGACCGGGCAACCAGCTTTAGTATCAGTCCGCCAATACATTAATCGGTTTTAGGGCTTAAATTCCTTACTATTTTAGTAAATATCAAGAAGTTTATACTATTCAATAATTTTAAAAGTTTAATATTAAATTTTTTAGTCATTTTAACAATTATTGAACATAATTGAAGGTAAAGTGACTAGTTTAATGCACGGCATCCAGCCTCTTAACACAGCAAACAGGCGTTAGTCTCTCTCTGTTTTCACTGGAGGTAACATCTTGCTTGAGACTCTCTTCAACTAAATGCTTTTTTTCTGTGTTTCCAAGTAAATTATTGGTCATTTTTAAATATATTTTACATATTGACAATATATAATGCAGTGCAGTGTTGATTTAAAGAAAATAATCTTGAATTACACCAAGAGAGCTAAAATTTTATGGGTGAAATGGTGCCATGGGGTGACTTCTCTTCCACCCCAATGCCTTCTCTTCTTCCTTCTCCTCCACCCCCATTCTAAAACCCATCATCATCATCATCATCATCCAGGAGCCTTCTACATACACACCTCGAAGTAAGTGAACTTTTCTACCATTTTTGTTGAATTTAGGAAATTTTCGGTGAGCCGGAACCAATTACCCAAAAACCCATTGAAACAATGGTTTCGGTTAACGAACGACCTTCTGGAACGGATTGAGTTCGTTAACGGAGGGGTCACTGTATTACGAAAATTGCAAATCCTCGACCTTTTTGGGATATTCGTAATGTAAGTAAATTTATCGTCAAAAATATTTTTCTTCAGGTTCTCTTTCTTACCGAGTTTAAGATGAAAGTGTTGATGACTACAAAACTTTCCTACTCACATAAACAAATGAAGCTCAAGTATGGCATCATCATTGGGTGACATGGAGCATCTTTATTTATATAAGACCTTGGCAAAAAATACAAAGTTTTATTCCCCTGCCAAATTTGGCTTATTTTTTAGGCAAGAAAATAGAGCACAGTGAATGGGCTATCATGGATCAGACTTTCTTTATTATCATAAATAGTGTACAGTATGGTGATCAGTGGCACAAAACTGTACCAGCAACACAGCACTATCCTGTAACTGATACTAAATAGTGTTTTATGTTTCATAAATGATATGCCAAATACAGTGTACTGTATGTATACAGCAGGAGTTTTCATTCCTTGAGCATTGGGTCCCCTCTTTTCTGGATATAATTGCTAGATGTTAGCTAAATAAATTATTAAAATTGGCATCCCCATAGTGATTGGGTTAAAGAAAAATACTGTACTGTTCTGTAATGTACTGTATACCAATAAAGGTTAAATCTAAAAATTATGAATTCTGTAAAGAGTAAACAATATGTTCCCTGGTATATTTATTGAACAGAAAGGTGTTTTGTATGCTAGCATTTATATAATGTGTTTTATATTCGTGATTATTATGTCAGAAAGTTTGGAGTTTTTCAGTATTCCTCATGGATGTATGTAAATTTCAGGTGGTGAGCACATGGGTTTTAAGTGGTGTGACATTGAAGAATTTCGACGTGCAGAACGCTGTGGAGAGTCTCCAGCGAATCGTCTTCTGCAAGCATGGGGTCAAAGGAATCACACAGTCTCTGAACTCTTCTATTTTCTGTATAAAATGGACCATTTTCAGGCAATGAGAGCAATCATGTCTTGTGGTAAGTCTTAATATCACTCCTATGTAGCTTCACGTAAACTTCAGTATCCTTGTATTTGCTGGTATAAGTGATAGGTAAATTAACAGTTAAGGCGGGGGTTCCCAAACCTGGGGTCGCGACCCCAAATGGGGTCAGAAGGCTCATTAGGTAGGGTCGCAAAGAGGTCATGGGGTCGCTGGGGTCCTTTGGGTCTGCCAGTGAAATGATTTGGGGTCGCACTGGATAGTTGACAACACTGGATTGGGTCGTGCTAGAAAAAGCTTGGGAACCCCTGAGTTAAGGTTTTATTGTATAGACATTACTTGGAACTGAGTTTTATTTATATAGTCTGTACATAGTATACATATAACTTCACTGATTTTTACATTCTCAGTTTATTGTATTCAGTAATCTAAGTACGCAAATGAAAGTTTTAATATTTCCCGAAATCTTTACAGTACCAAGAAGGTTTCACAATCTGTTGACCTCAGCAAATGGATACACCACAAAATTGTTGCTTGCCAAAAAACCTGCTGCAGGTATAGTAGTTGAGAGGGAGTCACAAGAGCCTGTGAGAGCTGTTCAACCCACCATTGAAACTGTTCATAGTTCTGTACTGGAATATTCATCAGCTACCACCCAAAGTACGTCCTTGCTAGATACTGTATCAAGTATAAATCATAATGACTCTGTCGTGGAAGCATCAGTGACTCCCAGCAAGAATAACTCAAACCGACAACCAGTACCCGTTCAGGCAGGAAGACAACAGGTCATGTCACAGAGGGTGAGTAAACCTGCTAAGCATTGCTGGAAGTTTTAGTAGTGATTGTGCTCACCTGTTAAGTTCTTTCCATCCAGGTTGTTGCTCAATTCATTAATGACAGAGTTATTAGGCTAAAAAGTTTAACTTTCACTGGTATACAGTAGGAGGTCCCCGACTTAAACGCCTGCCGATACGAACAGGGTTAAGCTTGAAATTTATAGTACAGGTATTTTATTTACCTGATGACTTATTTTTTACTTTCATTTACTGTACTTTGTCATTGTATATCTTCTTTTCTCTTAAATTATGTGATTTTAGATGTATATAAGGACTTCGGCTATGATATAGTGGGATTTTAAACATTGTTTTGTAAGTACGGTATACATATGGCGTGTGTTCCGACTTGCATACATTTTCGACTTAAGAATGTCCTCGGGAACAGAACCCGTTGGTAACCCGGGGGTCCCCTGTACTGTATTAGGACTTCAGTTCAGGCCTGCAATTAACCCCTGAGTATAATAGGAATGTGAACTAAAAGAGATGAGGTAATCATTAGTTTTTACCTTGCCATGAATAAAGAAAAGGCCTCTTGTATGTTACATGTGTTCAGCTGTTCATACATTACATAAGGTGTCTGAATATCCACTGAAGAAAGGATGGATAGATAGAAATTAATTTATTGTACAGTTTTATGGAATTAATATATAGGCTGTGCTTGAGAATAATCATTTTCTATACCCAATTCCCCAATTATAGGCTCATTTCAACTTAAAAATTTTGACATAGGCAAACATGGCTTTAGCTTTAATTTTCCTTTAATTAATTGTATTGTTGACAGGAAGATGCACCTGTGAGTACTGAGGGTGCCTGTGCTCTCATTCCTTCACACAACTACAACTCTCACAACTTCAACCAAAGTGCCAACCATGTTAACTCCTACCCAGCATCTCCAAAGGTTCCTGTGATGCTCCTGTGTCCAACAACACAAGCAACTGGAAGCAGTAGACCTCCATCGACAGATGTGAAACAGCCTGGACTTGTGAAACAGCCTGGACTAGCATCTGACTGTACTAGTAAACTGGTGAAGAAGCTCAACAACAATGAAGTTTATGGGTGAGACATTCCATTGCTTTATTTACAGCTTGAGTAAGATACAGTGTACAGTTGGTACAGTTAGATAACTGTTCATGGTTCAATGCATTTTAGAGAGTACCAAAAGAGGGAGCTGTTACTACAAATGCCATTATTTTTTTTAATAATTGCTCTTTTTTACTAAGACTGTCTTGCACAAATTATTATACATTTGGGACCTATGGGCACACCACTACCACCACCTATCACAGCACACTCCTACCTCAGCTGTCCTGTAAGTTAGAGAACCCCTACTGCTACTGTACTACACACAACCTCACTCCTGTCACCACCCACACCTAACCCAATCTCTCATTCCACAACCTGCTTCAACACATGAACAGTGGCAAGGAAGAGCAGGGTGTAGGGGTGGTGTGTGTGTCAGGGAGTGCAGGGTGGTGTGTTTGTGTGTGTAGGGAGTGTAGGGTGTAGAGATGGTGTGTGTGTCAGGGAGTGCAGGGTGTAGAGATGGTGTGTGTGTCAGGGAGTGCAGGGTGTAGAGATTGTGTGTGTCAGGGAGTGCAGGGTGTAGAGATGGTGTGTGTGTGTCAGGGAGTGCAGGGTGGTGTGTTTGTGTGTATCAGGGAGTGCAGGGTGGTGTGTTTGTATGTGTAGGGAGTGCAGGGTGTTGGGGTGGTGTGTGTGCCAGGGAGTGCAGGGTGGTGTGTTTGCGTGTATGTCAGGAAGTGTTAGAAGCATGGCCAACACTGCCCCTATGGAGTACATGGTGTCAACATCAGTGTCATTAAACTTGTTTTAGAAGTAAATCATGTTCTAACATGATAGGAATTGGAGAAAGAAAATTTTTCCTCTTTATTGAGACTGATAACCCTCCAGATATTTCTCATAATTTGTAATTGCATTAACAGTCTTTGGGTATTTTTCAGTACTATACTTCATGGTTCTGTGTTGCAGGCAGCACAAATTATGCACAGGTATCACACATTTTGTTGTACAATTCAGTGGGCTGGTGGTGGAGCAGTACCTTGTACAGTATTTACAACACATCACACCATTGTTTTCTCTAATTGCAGGATGTATGGTCAAGTGTCTTGTGAGGACAATAATCCAGAGGAATTGGTCACTAAACACAAAGTTCCTTCATATGATCCTGACAAAAGCTATTTAGCCAGGGTGAGAACAGTGCATTTTCTTAATAAATTTATTTTTGAGATGTTTCTTGCCAAAGAACTGTTAATAATGATCCCTTTCTTAGTTATCAATACTTTCACCAATATTTGGTTAGTAGAGTTTTGTAAAAAGTCACTGCAAGAACATAGAAACTAATACAGGTATACAGCACAGTAATCTCCCCGTTAGCCACAATCTTCGATCCCTGGAACTTTCCATTACCCGGAAAAAAGAAATTAGCATTCTGAGAACTTCCGATAAAAATCTCTCCTGGCATTAAAATTAATATCTGAGAAAGTGCATCATGTGCCAAAACGTGCTGAGGGCATGGGTGGGTAGGCTCAGATTGCCCGTGAGCTACGATTGGCTACTACTGTCATGTGACTCCATGGGACGCCTATGATTGGCTGATGTATCTCGCAGGCTGTTTCCTCAAACTCTAGCTTCTTGACACTCTTAGTTCACTGCCTGCTGCCATTGTACAAGCTTGTTTGCATGCTCACTACTTTTTCACATACGATCTGTGTTATGCAGTACAGTATTATACCAGGATACAATCATTGAAGTATACCATTAAAGCAGTGTTAAGATATAAACACTGATTACAGTTACATATACTGTACTGTACACTCAAAAAGTGTGAAAGTACTGTATATAGCAGGAGTGGACAGTGTATGCCTACTGTAGGCTAGTGTGTAGAGGGTGTGTGTACAGTGTATGTACAATCCCTCCTTCAAGGAGGGAGAGGAGAGTGGCAGTAAGCAACATCTGCTACAGTACATGGTACAGGACAAAGGCAGGCCATCCTGTATCATCATATCACCATTTGACCTGCCTGCATTACAAGCTCAAGATGTCACCATTTGCTGGTGAGTACAGTATAGTGTATACATTAGTCAGTCCGACTGTAGTTAAGCCTATGTAGCAACGATGGTCTTTGCCAGATACATTGTTTAGACGTGGAAACTTCCACCAATGCCAAGAAAAATCTTGGGGATAAGAAAATTTGTGTCAATACACGGAAATTTCTCAAACCCGGAAACAGTCTGCGCCAACTGTTCCGGCTAATGGGGAGAATATTGAATCCAGTTATGATAACCGTTGTAACTACTGTACTTGAAAATGAATTTGCTGATTTATCCAAATAGGTTGCTATTTTTAATCAGTATTTCTATATTATTTGTCCATTCACTATTACCTTTGTTGGCTTTTATTGATTTTATATGTTTTTACTAATACCAGTTCACTGTCATAGGTGGAGGAAAAGAGGGCCAAAGAGGCAGCGAGAGCCAAGGAAGGTGCAAGGTCATCTAACACTTCAGGAAGAGCTTCACTTACAGACCCACCAGTGACAGTTCATCCTCACCAGAATCCACAGAGACCTCCCTCAGAGCTTACTACTGCTGAAAGACAACGCCGAATCTCTAGTAAATTTAATTTCGTATTATCCGAGTCCTCAGCTGTTATCTCCTCCTGGGCTCTCTACTAGAGGGAAACCTAGAAATGGAGGACATCCATGTGCATTTGTATAGATATTGTGAGCATGATGTAAACTCATATAGCAATGTAGTTTTAACCATAGTTGGTACAGTATATAAATAATGTACAGTAATAATATACCACAAGATTTCTAATGATTTTGATAATGAGTACTTTTCATTATAGTCCAGCCCTCTACCTGCTTAAAGTTTGCTGCAGTAATGAACTGGCCATATTTAATGATTTAATTTAAAATTACAGAGCCAGTATGTATTGGGGCACAATGGGTATAAATAATATTTATCTGAGGGTTATTGTTGGTTTGTTTAACTACAGATGCCTCAGACTCATCAAACCACAGTACCAGTGTGCCAGTGATCCCGTATAAAGAACTGGAGGAGGCCACAGCTCTCTGGAGTCCAGATCATCTCCTTGGTCGGGGAGGTTTTGGTTCTGTGTTTAAAGGTACTTGGAAAAACACAGAAGTTGCTGTTAAAAAGATTGAACCTGTAAGTATAATTATAACTTCCTCCCAATAAATTGCAGGGGTACTTTTGGTTTGCTCGCCCATGACATTCCTCTGTCTGTTTTTCAACTGTGTGAGCTAATGTGGAACTTCAAAATTTGGATATTCAGTTGCCAGGACACCACAAGAATTCTGATGATTTTTATGTTTAGTATTTTACTATACACTTTTTAAAATAAGTGTGTCAGATATTTACAGCTAATATTACCATACAAACTCTGGAGTGTGTGGGTTTCTCTGCTGTATATCAGTTTGTCACATGGAAATACTTCTAATTTCAGCATGGCAATGCTTCATTTGACAATGCTCGACTGCACATAACTCAGAGTCTGGAGGAATTAAAGCTGCTCCAGTCATACCGCCATGACAATATTCTTCAGGTAAGGTTGATTTTTTCGCTCTCAAAATATCTTGTAGTATATTGTCCACTCGTGAAGAAGTTAACAGTATGCATAAAAGGAAGACATTAAATTATAATTGATAATGTTTACTAAAAGTTTCACACATGTTTTTTTTTAAGATTATCTGTATAGGGCTTACAGTACTACATAATGGCAGGAATTTATTTTGTAAACACCAGAGCTGTCCTTTTTTATGATATCTTTACCAAGGTGTAGCTAAATGTCTGTCCTTCCTTTTGGCCATCTGGCAATAAAGCTATGACACCCACTCCATGAAGAAGTAGCTACAACTACCCTTTTCAAGACTTTGGTGAAATGTTGACAAAATAATGGTGTGTTAAACTTATACAATATTACAGGATATGTCTGTTGGTGGGAATATAAACTTATTAAATGTATTGTTCACCACTGTTTATGGAATGAGTGGGAGGGACTGAGCTCACTGAGTCTAATGATCTATATAAAGTAAAAGTTTATGCTGTGAAATTTTTGTAGATTTTGCTTTTCCAATTATTAATATATGATGCAGTAGAGACAGACGAGTTTCTTCTGAGAAAATGTGGAACACATCCTAGACCAGTGGAAGAAATAAAACACAGTAATAAGTTGGCTTCAAAAAGTACAATAGCTCCATACTGTTACATGATATACACATAACATTCTCTTGCTTTTCTATTTTATGAAAGGAATAACAATATAATTATGTATTCTTGCAGGTTTATGGCTATTCTACAGACCATGAAATGTCCCCATGTCTGGTGTATCAGTTTATGCCTAATGGATCTGTAGAGGACAGACTTCAAGGCAGGGTAAGTCACATCCACCTCCACCACAAAAGTCGTCTTCATCTTTTTAGTATGGGATGTCAGCAGAATCTACTCCCTGCACCCCAGTCTTTGCTAAGCACTACTTCTCAACCATACCAGGTTTTATGATGTTTTTGAGAAATGTATGACATTGCTGCAGGATGATTTATAATGGGAGCCAGATATGTATAACTATTTGTGCTGCTGATGCCATTGAATACAGTATTGTAATGGTTAATGACACTTTCATTAAAAAGCATTTTCAGCACTAAATCTGTAGCTGCAAGAAAGCCACTAATACACATTGATGCTAATTAGTTTACATATGTACAGTACAGGTACAAGAAATGTGTTTTTAGGCAATATCAGATCATAAATCTTAAATAACTGGCTATTTAAAGCTTATCTGTCAACTCTTCCACTGTTACCAGCCCACCCACCTTATATCATGCAGATTGGCTCAGGATAAATTTCTCTTGTTGACTGTACAGTCAGCCTCTTATATTTCAGATAGATCTTGTACTTGTTTCCTTCACAAAAACAACACATACTTCCTCATTTTCTTTCTTGTCATTATTTCACTCACAAGAGTCATCAGTGTGTCTTGTAGTAATGCTGGTGATAAAAAGATACAGTCAATACCTTCCAGGTTTTTTCTTTTCACATAAACCCTTCTACAAATGAGGTAGTGCTCCTGGTTTTTCTTCTTTATTAATTGGAGCTGACCAAATGGTCTAGATTCTCAACCCTCTGGGTTAAGAAGGAGCAGTGGCATAACTGACAACTCTTAGGTGAAAACCACAGCAGTGAGCAGTGCTGTGTTCTAGAATCAGACAGCAAAGTATGGTTTGGTGCCATCATAGTCCAGTGGTCCTACCATCAGTGTTCCCCTTTCAGAAAATCTCTAAGACATTCATATTGTTTATTCCAGCTGTTTCGCACATGATTTCTGTTCATTCACTGCAGTTACAACCTGGGTGAAGTTCTTCCCTCCTCTTAACTAGTACCTCCCTCACCCCAGCCTTCCCTCACCCCAGTCTTCCCTCACCTCGGCCTTTCTTCACCTCGCTCTGTCTTCTCTTCTATTGCTCACTTGAGAATTAATTTTTTTATATATTCATCTTTCACATCACACATATCTTACCAGCTAAACAGACTGTGGTTGACACCTTTCTGATACAGTAAGGTTCTGCTCAATGACCGACATGTGAGCTTTAAAAAGTCATTCGACAGTCTTCCAAAGTACTGTACAGTTGTCCCTCGGTTAACGAACACAATTCGTTCCACAGAGTCGTTCGTAAACCGAAAATTTCATCAACCGAATCTATTATTTCAATGGGATATTGGGTAATTGGTTCCAACTCACAGAAAAGGACATATAAAGTATAAACAAAATGCAGTAAAGTACACTTACTGTGAGGTGTGTATGTAGAATATTCCTGGTTGATGATGATGGGAATTAGAAGTGGGGGTGGAGGAGAAGGGAGAAGAGAAGGACCCATGCTTGATGCAGTAATTTCACCAATAAAATTTTAAAGTTCACAAGCTGTAATTAAAGATTATTTTATTTAAATCAACACTACACTGCACTATATATTATCAATATGTTAACTAAATATCAGAATGACCAATAATTTTTATGTAAAAACATAAAACTACTCTGTATTCAAGAGACCAACACACACGATGTTTCCTCCACTGTAAACAAAGTTAAACAGAGATGCTTTGGCCGGTGAGTCAAGCGGCTGATGGGCACTCAAAAAACTAGTTCCCTGTGCTGCATATATTATCAATATGTTAACTAAATTTTAAAATGACTAATAATTTTAATATAAAAAATGCAAAATATTAAAGAGCACTACCTTCTTGATATTTACGCCACTGGAAATGAATGTAAACATAGAACCGATTACTGTATTGGCGGACTAGCCGATCAGGTGATCAGCTGATGCGCACCACAAAAAGTGTTTGTCGTAAGGATTTCATCTATCGAAGTTTTGTTCGTTAATCGAACTGAAAATCCTTATGGGAGCTAATTAGTTAATCGAATCGTTCGTTAACCGAGGGACCACTGTATAAAGTTTTAAGTGCAGTTACAGGTGTGATTCCTGTTCATTAACCCTTTGGATGCGGCATGCGGGTAAACCCGCCCAAAATATTATATTAATTAAATGCGACAAGCGGGGATATCCCACGGCCTTGAAAAAACTTCCCCAAATGAGACGACATGCGGACATATTATGTATTGAGGTATAGGAGTATTTCCTGAATGCAATATAGCTTATTTTTGTACTATTTTGTTTGATATTATCTGAATATGTAATACATATCTAAATTTGCTGTTTAGTAACCAAATTGATTAAATTTATTTGCCATATACCAGACATTGATTTATACCAATTTCCTGCATTTTTGGGTATAAATGTAATTTTTTCTCTAAAATTTGCACACATATGTGAATTTTTGTTCCAGATTTGGAAAATATACTAAAAGTTCTCTAGGAAAAACATATAGAAAATGTGATTATATGAAATTCATTTTTGGCAGGATAATTGACACTTTTCAGGAACCGGCGCGAAATTTAATTACGCACCTAAAGGGTTAAGGTACAAATGCAGTATATCTAAGGGAAGAAATGCCTGTACATTGTTTTATAAACCATGAACTGTATTGAATATCCTCAAAATTTTGTATAGACCTAAAAAAAAAATTTCAGAAAATTGAAGCTTTTGGTGAGGGGCAGCCATTAGGAGCTGCCGTACGACTTAATTGGCTGAAGCGTTTTAGAATAGCAACTGGCACAGCACGAGCCTTGCAGTTCTTGCATACAGTGAAGGAGAAGCCACTTATCCACGGGGATGTTAAAAGGTAAGTCCTCTTTACTTTTAGTATTACTTAGACCTACTATACATGATATGATGTAAAACAAAGAAGGAACAATGTTAATGGTGGTGATCTTACAGTAAACCCTTCATAATTTGGACAAATAGAAGCTCTACCCTTGATGAAATAAGGGAAATTCTGAATTACGAGCAGTTAAGCACAGTAATGAAGAGACACAATCATGGGCCTCAAAACAGAGATTAGAGGATGTCCCCTGGAGACTGGAGCTGAAGCACCTGGTTAATGCCTCACACACTGCTGGCTCAGATATCTCTCAACTATTACCCTCCTCCTCCCCTCCCCTTGGCCTTAAAAGGGAGTTTCCTAATTTTTTTTTTGTGTTGTGTTTAATTAATTATTTATTTGCTATTACTATTATTTTGATTATAATATTATTATTATTATTATTATTATTATTATTATTATTATTATTACTTCTACTGTAATCAGTGATATCTCCATTAGTCAGAACAATTGGTACACAGCTCTAGTGGGAATGAGACGACCCTCTCGAACTCGGAAAAGAAATCCCCCATCCCCAGAATTTTATGGATATTGTGCTGAGAAATTATTCTCAAAATTTCTGAAAACTGCATTTGATTTTCATCTCAAACCCAGAAAAAAATCCCCCCCTCCCCGGAATTCTCCGGGTACCGTGAAAATTTTCTCAGAATTTACCCAAAAATCATTCCCAAACCTGGAATTTTCAGGAAAATTTTAAGCAAATTTCAATTCTGAGTATCGGAGAGTTCCGGTTAAGAGGGATTCCAACTAACAGAGATATTACTGTATTATCATCATCATCATCATCACCACAGTACAGGGGGACCCCAAAATTCGCGGAGGTTAGGTTCTCAAAATGGCCGTGAATCGCCAAATTCGCGAATAACATTTGCTGACCGGGAGAGGAGGGGTTGGGGGGCATTTTTACTTGTGTATAAAGAATGTATATTCCCTCTATGCGTTTGCCCTTAGGACAATTATTTCTTTTTCCTGTATTGTATATGTGTGTGTGTGTAGACACACACACACAAAACACATACAACATACAAATAAATGATCATGGTAAAATACTCTCACAAATAACCAGAAACAAATTTATTAAAAATGTTACATACCCATAGTGACGCTGAACATTACCTGATGCGGCCAAAGCTTGACCCACTTTGTGTCTCAGCAGAGTATAACTTACATTGCTGGAATCCTTGCATGACAGCGAATAATTTAAATATAGCCATCATATATTTTGCACAAGAGAGAAAAATTTTAGTCCTATAGTGTAATACATTAAGTACAGTACACGTTTTTCAACTCGTAATTTTGGGTATTTATTCGTAACTTTCTTTATTTATTTTTACTCATTTACATGCACACACCATCCTAAATACATATTGTGAGAAAAGTAAAAGAAATAATTATCCTAAGGGCAAACCTGTACTATACTCAAATGTACTAAATAATTACTAAAACCTTTATGTCTAGTGCAAACTATAGCATGTTTATGTTCAAATTAATCACTATCTTACAAGAATTACAGCAGTGTAAGTTATATTCTGCCAAGTCAATTCATTGACATTTTCTAAGGTTAAAACTTAAACTCCCTCTGTATGACTGATAACAACGTCTGGGTCAGTCATCTCAATGCCGGCTGGTCAATACCTCACCCCCCCCTCAACCCCCTCCTCCTCCTCCCTCAACCACCAACTCACCCGTACTCTTGCCTCCGCCTCTGTAGCCTCCCTCCTCAACCCTTCCCTACTCCACCTTGGGCAGGCAGAAGTCACCAGTCGTCAATGTAAGTGTTATTTAAGATGTAAATCCTATTGTTTTTCTTTATAAATGAGGAAGGTAAAAGAATATTTATTGTGACAGTTATATGATTTTTCCCCTAACCTGTACTATTTACATGCATTCTTATAGGAAAATTTATTTAATATACGTGTCTTTTAATTATGCGGTGATTTTCAAGAATGTAATTCTTACATAAAAGAGAGGTGGGTGTACAGGTAAAGGAAATTACTGTCTCTAGAACAAATGGCTCCCTGTCCCAGCCGCGAAAATGCCGGTAATTTTAAAACTATCCACAGACATTCTTGGGTACATCCAGGGTGTCATCCGCAAATAATAGAGGACTGCGAAATAAAAATCCACAAACTTGGGGGGCCCCTGTATTATTATTATTAGTATTATTGTTATTATTATTATTATTATTGTTATTATTGTGATTATTATTATTTTTATTATTATTATTATTATTATTTTTATTATTATTATTATTATTATTATTATTATTTTTATTATTATTATTATTATTATTATTATTATTATTATTATTATTATTATGGTATTTTGTTTCTTTAACACTTTACAGTGCCAATATATTGTTGGATCAAAACTATGAACCCAAGTTGGGTGACTTTGGTCTGGCCAGAGAAGGCAAGAGTCAATCAACAAGCATGAAGGTAAGTTTACATGATTTTAGTAATATAGTGATATTTCCGTTAGCTGGAACTATTGGTGCAGAACAACTTCTGGGAATGAGAGATTTCCAGGAAATGAAATGACTCTCAAAGCCAGAAAAAATTCCTCATCCTCGGAATTTTCCGGGTAACAGAAAAATTTTCTTGGAAGTTCCAGAAATTACCCATTACATCATGTCTCGAACCTTGAAAAAATATCCCTCATCCCCAGAATTTTCTGGGTAACGGAAAAATGTTCTCAATTTCCGGAAAATGCACCTGATTTTCATCTCTCAAACCCGGAAAAAACTTCCCCATCCCTGTGATTTTCTGTAATTTTCCAAGTATCGGGTAAATTTTCTTGGAATTTTCCGAGAAAAATTCAATTCCAGCTATCAGAGAGTTCTGGGTTTAAGGGATTCCGGCTAATGGAGATATTACTGTAAAGTCATGAGAGAAGCACCTGTACAGTGTCGTGTAATAAGTACAGTAAAGCCTCGAATAACGACGGTAATATGTCCTCCAATATTGCAGTGTGAGGTGAATCATTATATTATGAATCATTAATCACCAGTAAAATAAAGCAATAATAATGAGATGCACTCCCCAGTGTGACCTTTTTATAATTTTTTTGTGGCTTTTTACCCTCTTTTCCCCAAAACAATACAATTTATGAAAAATTAAAACTATATTCTTCAAATAATGTTTATGAATGCACACAAGAGGAGATGGGATGCTATTGTTGTCAGTGTTTGCACCCATAATGTCGGCTATCATTCTGAAACTGAAGAAAGTAAGACCCTGGTTGTAGCTGTAGTAAAATTAATGTAAAAAAATTAATATGTATGTTTTAAGTAAGGTTATTTAATGTTAATAAATGGAACAATAGAAGTAGCCAACCATTAACAGGAAAGAAAAAACTAAATAGATTGGGAACGCCATCGTATGTAAGTGCGTACAGTACATGTGAAAACATCATCATTTCTCTACATAAGAACATGAAAGCAACACTTATTACTGTTCATATATGTTTTAAATAATACTTACTAAGGTAAAACAAAAATTCTTCTCACAAATGTTGGTATAGTCTAAAACATAAGGACAGCCAATGATTATTGTGCAAGTTTTTACTCATGATGAATTCATCAGGTTCAACTCTGGGTGAAGCTGAAGCTTTCCATAAAGATGTCATAGCTGTTGCTGAAACTGTTACTGAACCTGAAGTTTTTACTGAAGCTGCTTATGATGCTGAAGTTGATGGTTTAGGCCTTCGAATAATATAGTTTCGAAAGGACCTTTCACAGCCGCTTTCTTTTCTCATTATACATCTTTATGTAGAGGTCATATGCATTTTTCACGTCCCTGTTAATTTTGATGCTTCATCTGTTAATGAATCGACTAAAGAAAATATGTTCATTGCTTGTTCATTGCTTGCTCCATATAATATCCACAGACCTCTCACCTTTTTGGTATTGTTTTAACACATCTAGTTTCTTGGCTAAGCTTATACATTTTTTTTTTTAGCTTTTGAACCAGCACTACCATCACTTGCTCATGTTGAGTAGGGACACAAAAAATGCCATAAGAAACCCGAGATTTTTTTCTTCTTGTTCAGATGCGTGAAATCAAAAGGCCCGCCAAGTTGCGACTGTTTATACTAGTGATGCTGGCGTCATCACTCACAAGCCTGGCAGCCTCCGTGCGCAAGGCGTGTTTTTTATAATACATATCAGAATTTAGTTATTATTTATATGAAATGTAATTTTACTTTATTTTTTATAATATTTTTGTTGTAAATACGAAGAAAATAATGGTGCAAATTGTATTGGGTCCTAAATTAACCAGGGTCTTAAATGTGAAGCGTCGTTAGTAGAACCGTCATTATCGGAGGCTTTCCTGTATACAGTACTGCAGTTTATCCACCTACACCCATAACACACACGTTCTCAAACATTATTACTCCCTTCACAATTGGTTAAGCCAGCTGTCCTCTCTCCAGGTAAACACCCTGCTGTGTCATGTGGGTCCCAGTGCTGTTACACAAAAACTCCACCCACAATATCATATGACCAATCACAATGCAAGAAAGAAACCTATGAGATTTGGAAAAGACCTAGTGATTGGTTAAGTTTTAAGCTGCATGTGTATAGGGTGAGAACTGACTGAGGCCAGGAGATTAGCGGTGGTGTAAGACAACAAGGGGTTATTTCATAAGTTAGTGCTAATCCTGGTAATGGTATGAGTTAGGCAGTCCTTCCATGGTAATAGCTGAGCACTGAGTGTAGAGATATGGCAGATCATATATTGTGTTTGTCTTAATAAAATAGGAATAAGTCAAATTTCTCCTTTTAATTTCCCATGGTCTGTATAATAATAATTGACTGGAGTTCCCCTGTAACTGTTGGACAGGTGACAATATTGCTCACTCTTATTATGCATTCAAATACCTGAATATATACCGGTACTGTACATACAATATTTATGCAGTATATTTTTTGTTACAGGTATCAAGAGTACACGGAACCAAGCCTTACCTTCCTGATGATTACTTAAGATCAAAAAAACTCTCGGTAAAAGTGGATACATACAGCTATGGCATTGTTCTTTTTGAGTTGTGTACAGGACTGAGGGCTTATGATGAGAAGCGAAAAGAAGGAAAGTTTTTGGTAAGTTACTCTTTCTTTCAATGTCTGAATTATAATTTAGTAATTTCTCACAAGAGGATGATCTGATAGTGATTGGTTAAAGCAGCAGCTTCTCATCAGTAGGAGGAAATCAGCAGCGTATAACAAAATATAAGAGGCTGATGATGATACCAGCCAAGGAACAAAACATCACTTCTGTACTGTATATCTTGGAGCAGGTGGTGGTGCTTACTGACTGTGGGAAGAAACACCATGAAAGCAGTGTGATGATTTCAGCTGTGATATTAGGAGGAACAGAGATTTCTTGTGTGGATTGTAGAAATGTACCATTATCATTTAGGAACTTTAAAAGTATTTATTTCTCTCTTTAACAAAACATGGGGGGGGGGGTGCATGCAAGAACTTTTTACTGTATTCCCTATCAAACAGGGAGGTACTACCGCCTGGGAAGATATTGGAACTATAATGTATTGTCTAATGGTAGACCCTGTTGCCATATGGCATCACGAAAATTGTGACCAAGTCCCAGGTTGATGATCTGACTTTTGCTTCGTTTACACACAATTGCAGGGTCTCAATTCTTTCTCTTACTTTGACAACACAACATACATATACAGGTACTGTATATCGTTTCTCACTATTGATCTTTTTTCATTTTTGTATTTTTTTATGGTTCTTTATTATTATTATAGTATTATCATCAGTGTTGTTATTATTTTATTTTTAATTTAGTAATTTTTATTATAAATTTTATTTACTATGAACCAATTATTATTGTTATTATCATTACATTTTCACACCCCAGGCCCCGATGTGGATCAGTGACCTGTGCCCGGGTGGGCTAATCCCTTAAAAAATAAAAAAAAATAAAAATAATAATAATGAAAATAAATAAATCATTATCCCTTGGCCTTTACATTTAAATCTCACCAGGCAATAAAATTTATTTTTATATTGGAATGAATGGAAAGATCTGTGAATTGCGGCAACGACTGAAATAATCATTAGCTTCATTGTGTAGTCCTTCAGTATTGTAACTCTTAACAACCATGATTATATATTAGTAGAAATGTAGGTATGATTGTAACTACAAATCTGTATCTTATTAGTGTTAGAAATTGGATTAGCCAAATTATGCATACAGTGCCAACAAACATTTTGAGTTTGTTCACTTTTTAGGAATACAGTACGGTACAGTGTCATGAAACATATATAAGGCTTTATATAATTTCTTGGAGTTTGATTACCTCTATACCTATTGCTGTAATAAGTTCATTTCAACATAAGATACAGAGTATTTTTTTTTTTTATTTCCCTGAGTTTCATACCATGGAAGGCAGGCACAGACAAAGTGGATTATTCATGATGGGTTGTGTTTTCGGTGAGTGGACAATTGTCACTGATCTATTGAATACAGTGCTATATTTATTACACTTTAATAAGAATGTCTTTATTTTGGAAGCAATGAAGTCCTAGTTAGGTAAATTAAGTTGGGTTAGGCTTATATTTGACCGGTGACTTAACGGTTGAATCACAGTTCAGGTGGAGTCTGTTGTGTTTAACTTAAGTGTGTCAGTTATTAAGGGAGCAAATTATAATGAGTACTGTATATACCAACTGTCTTTGAGCAGAAGGAGCTGGTGGAACTGACCACCAACGAGGAGTTACTCAGAGACAAGAATATCGGAGTCAGCTACGAAAGCCAGGTCTTCAATTTTCTTTTTCAGCTTGGAAAGGTAAGTTGAATATATCTCTTATTTACCTTTCTGTCTATTTAGTGAATGAAGGTATTCTGTCAGCAATATGTGCAAGTTTAACTACCATTCAGGTTTTAACAGGAAGTGCTAAGTAATTGTCTTTCAATGTATTTTGCAATGTTTACAGGCAGTCCCTGAGTTACAAACATCCTCACTTGTACACATACACCCTCACTTGTACACAAACACCCTCACTTGTACACAAACACCCTCACTTGTACACAAACACCCTCACTTGTACACAAACACCCTCACTTGTACTTTCATTATTCAATACAGTATTGTTTAACATCACTTTATTTACAGTATTTACAGTATGTGTTATGTATTGGATACTATTATTGTTTTGTATTGGCAGGGTTGTGCTTTAATCTAACCTAAACTATGAAATTAACACTGTTTTGACTTACAAAGAGGGTCCAGAAACGTAACCTATTCGTAATTTGGGGACTGCCTGTGTTTATTTTTCAACAGGTTACTTAGTTTCATGGTTAGATTTAACTTGCTTTCACTCTTAACCCCCCCAAAAAAGAAAAAAAAAGTGAAACAAAATCATTTCTGTAACTTCCTTTAAATATATTTATTGATAAATTCATGGTATATCTCCCAGGATTGCGTGAAGAATTTGTCAACACAACGTCCAGACATGACTAAAGTTTTCAAGGAACTCGATAATTATGGTCTCGTCTTGGAAGAGAGAGCCCGTGCTAGAAGTAAGGATGTAATGACTTTTTGTTATTTTATGAAAAATTTATACCCTGTAGTGTGTATAATTAATGGGTGATGCTTAGTAGAAAAATATTTATAACCTAAATGAGGAGTCTTATAGATGATGGTTACTTTAGTTTTACATGATTTTAGTGATTTAGTTCAGGTCAAAGGTCAATTTTTCCCAATTTTTCTTTCACAATTTCGTATTTGTGCCATGGAACTTCCTGTCTGTTATAGCAGTAAGGTACAATATGAGAGCAAATGAAAAGTCTTGTGTTCATGCTTGGTATCAACCAGCCTACAGTACACTGGGAGAGCTTGCGGGAACGAAAGAATTGCGCTTAACCTTTTTAACCCAATTTCTATTATTTGGATTAGTTCCTCTTATGCTTGTCTGTTCTTTGTATTTCCAGAATTTTTGGAATTGTTCCCCAGTGATTATTCTTTGTCTTTAATCCCTCATAATACAGTAGATTCCCAGTTATCCGGCACCTATGGGAATTTAAAAGGTGCCGGATTAAGAGTTTTCTGGCTAATTGAAACTCGCTCTTTGGATCCCCCAATAAATCCTACTTTGCACAGTGCTACAGGCTGACCTCTCATATTTGTGTTTAAGAAATACAGACTTCTTTAACACTTTCTCCACTCTATATAAACGGTGTGACTTATAAGTAAAAATACAAAACATGGTGGAAAGAAACAAAGTATGAATCAGTTGCATGTGCTTCAACCTCATATTACTTCTTATGAAACTTATAAAGGTTTTGGAAAAATTATTACAATACTCTAACATATCTTAGAAATATGGAAAATATAATTTAAAATTATAAAATAAGAAAACTGAAGAGCATCACTGTGTATGTGTGAGAAATGAATGAGTGTTGAGGCGGTGGGTTACTAGGCTATAACTGCATGGCCATGCTCCCCCCTACTGATGAGATGTCAGAGTATACACACACAGCCACCACAGCAGCCACACATATGAGAGTCAGCTGGGTGACTGCCTGAACTGTGTCATGATGCTCAGAGGATGGTTTGAGTGTGGAAGGAGCTATTTTTTGTACATAAAATATATACTATTGTATTTTGTTATTGTTTACCACAGCAATGAATATGGCAGCTCATCCCTGTTGCGTGCGGTATTCAGACTTATGATTCTAGCTGATTTGGGAGGAATTTTTTATTATTGTTATTTCATTTTGGTGCTGGTTAGTTGAATCTACCGGTTGCCTGATGCTACATAACTGGAATTCTACTGTATTCTAATTTAATATTTGGTTTTGCTTCACTGTCTTCCTCCTCATGAATATATCAGTAAACTATTATGACTTTCAACTTTTATAAAGTAAAATGGAAGCTGTTTTTATTTCCTCGATGCCAGTGTTTGTGTCAAAGCTCATGCACAAGTGTACAGTATATAGTACTCTACTCTTGAAATTGTAAGCTGTTAGCTCAGGGAATATGAATGTGTTTACATAAAAATAATTTTCTTGACAAGGTAAGCTAGACTGTACTCATTAATTAACCTCTTTTACAGGAATCTCCCAGGGTGAAACAAGCTCAGTGTCCTCGTCACCACACATGCTTCAGATGTGCTACGACACTGCTGGATCCCTTCATTCACCATCACCCTCCACCCAGCCTTCTCTTCCTCATTTCTTCCATCCTTCTTCATCTCCCTCAGCTGCTTCCATGATTCCAGTTTACCAGTCTCCCCCTTCCTCTGTCTCTCCACGCTCGCCTGGCCCAAATTCACCTGTTCCGCCACATTACTCCCCACACCCGTTAATGCATGCAAATGTTCCCAGGTTAGTTGCCAATGGGTCAGTTGCGTATCACCCACGAATGTTCCACTATGGAGGAGCAATGGCATGGAAACAGGGACATGGAGGTAATGTGGTTTATGGAATGGGTCCCCAGCCTAACGGTCCACAGTTTCATTTGCCTCAAATAAATGTCAGCCCAGCCATTGTTAATGGTGCTGAAAGTGGAGATCCACCCAGCTATAGTGAGACCATGTCCCAGGGTCCTGAAGGTGCAGTAGGTGGTATGGGTAACGTATCTCCTATGTTACCACAGCTCTCAGGACTCTGCATCAATAGTAGTCATACTAATCGTAGTAGTAATGACTCGGATTACTCAGATAGTGATTTTAGCGGTTCAGAATCCAGCTTAATGGCCAACACCACTAAGAACATTGGTCCAGAGAATGGTTCACACTCATTACATCAAGGGGCAGCAGCAGGTGCTGGTTTACCCACAGTCATACCAACAATGGTTCTCCAACATCAAGCTAACTTTGCTACGCCTTTACTGACAGAATTGGGTACAAAGTCAAAATCTGAATTATCTTCCCTATCAGTGTCTAATCACTCCAGCCAGCCCACTGCTGTAAAGAAAAAGTGTCCATTGTTTGGGTAACTTAATTTGTCTATACTGTACTTAGGATACAGTATCATACTGCATATGAGGCAGAGCAGATGAGAACAAGACAAGTGACAAAGCTGCTTGAGTGTGTTTATTATACCTTAATAATCATCTACAAACTTCCTGCTTTTAAACACAAGACTAAGAACTCTCAAGTCACTCTGTCACTTGTCTTTGTTCTTGGGACCAAGCAGTGTGCAGATTGTTAAAAGTTATACAGTACTATACTTTTGAGTGTTGTGGAACCCTGATTGTGGTTTTGCATAAAAGATAGCTTTTAATAGTATAGTATTTACAAGTAATGAATATAAAAATACTCAAATTATTGCGAGGATATATATACATATATATATTAGATTTAAAAGATAGCAATAACATGTTTTGTTATTAGATATGAGCTTACAGGTATGTGCATATTACCATTAAGCATGTAGTAGCTGCTCTCTCCAACTTTGCAACCCCCAAAATTAATTAATATCAGTAAACACAAAAGAAAGTTCACAGTGGACCAACTTATAAACTCACACTTGAATCCAGGCCCAAGGTTGCTAGATAAGACAGGGTCAGACTATATATATATGCAGAATATTATAATACTTTTTACAGTAGCCTTGGGTTATTTAAAAAAAAATTGCTGTTACCAAAATTACTACTATCTTGGGCTTTTTTTTTTTTTAAGAAAAACCTATAACATATTCACTTCCCACATTCATATTGTAATAATTATCATATTTTCATCTTTATATATTACTGGTAAATAGCTTTGTAAATATGTTTTATTTACTTTTTGTTCATTCTCTTTGTGTTTTTGTTCTTTTCTTTCCTTGTCAGTAATAACATCAGTCTTTAATGCCAATTTGTCAATCTTTTTATGTTCTTTCCTCAATTTTTAATAACTTAACTCAGTACTTTATGATGAGTGGGGGGGGGGTTATTGTAGGAGACCAGGCTGTGAGGGAGAGGGTGCTGAGGGTAATGAGTGGAAGGTTGTGGGAGTTTGAACAGAAAGGAGGGAAGGTGAGGATGGTGCAGAGAAGAGACATGTTAAGTTATTTCTTCAGTACTATGGTAGAAAAGATATCTCATTACAGTATTTTAAAGACATACATATGAAAGGCTTTCTTCTCAAATTTAGGCTGGGGAAGGGCCTTTGTTAAACACACAGTGGGACAAGTTTCATGCTGAAGTTAAATGAGACACACAACTTTCACTAACAGTTGTCAATGTCCTGACAATGGGCAGGTTCTCTGTCTGATCAAAATCTGTCACCAAAATCTCTGTAGAATCTTTCTCCCTCTCCATGTACAATCTATTTTATGTAGTACTTACAGTATAGAGCTGGTCTAAGGTTTGTGTATGTGTGTGAGAGGTACTAACCCCTCCTACAAAGCTTGCAATTGGCTAGTGTTACCCGACTGATTCTGTGACTGTTCATTGTGTTGCTTTATTCCCCCCCCCCCGGAGTCAAAATTTCACACACTCCATACATTCCCACTCTAACTTTCAATGTAAAAACATGTTTCTTTAGAATATACATTCACAAATATCTACAGTTTATAACCATGATTGTAGATTTTGTCTCGGAAGCACTCGACGTGACTTGACATTGCAGGAGCAAATGGAGTATTAAGATGATCCCATGAAGCTTTGTAGTATACAGTACAGTAGTGGGCGGAGCAGTAAGTAGCCAAGCGCTCCCTCACTCAGTGTTGCATTGTCCATTGTTATATGTGGGACTACACTGCTCTCTTCTTGTAGTGTGTGAATATGCCATTACTTTTGAATAGTGCACTGTCCTCTAAGTGACCTAGTACTTCTACTAATACCTCTATTTATCCATTGACAAAGTGAACCTACATACACATTTAATGTCATCTGGATATTGTCAAAAGTTTCCTGAGTAAATTCAAAATTGTTCAATCTGGCAGGTACTGTTGGTGGTGAGTGATATAACCAATGTAGGAGTGTAAAAACATACAAATCATTGCTGTGAATATGTACAAAAATATTTTTGAATATGTATGATAACTGTGTCAATTTGTTGTACAGTAGGGACAAAAGTTCGTTTGAAGCAGTGACACTGACGGGAATAAATCTCCGAACTTACGTACCCTGACTGTTATCTGATGCGTGTGTACTGTTTTATCTTATGGGGTCAATGCTGCTTCACATGAACTTTTAACTGTACAGTACAACTAATATAGTATAGTACTAACTAGTTCTAAGAAAGTAAGATTCTGTTATGACAAACATTACCGTCAACAGAGAGATAATTGTTTACTACATGAAGGAAATATAATGTCACAATATTTTATTTGGTATCTGTTTATCCTTCAACTCTCTCAATGTTACTCTCATACCTCACTTAACACTGCCCCTTAAAACAATGATTCAGTATGGCTGTAGACAGGATTTATGATTGGGGCAGTCTCAGATCGTCGAACGAGGGCGGAAAAATCTGTTAATGCTGTACATCATAATATTTTTCATGTATTAACCAAAATTGAATATACATGGTGCCGTATTCAGTCCGCCCAACAATTAAAAATTGATCGACACACAATGTATTGATGATCCCTCTCGTTCTTCGGTTCATGAACTTCTTTCCATAGGATGCTGATAGGTTGCTGAACAAATTACGTTATTTCATTGCCTGAACAAACGACCTGTGTTTAGTACTGGGCGAAGACCAGCTTTATATCAGTACTTGTACATTAATCAGTTTAGAATAATTCCTTAATATTTTAGTAAATATCAAGAAGTTTATACTATTCAATAATTTTTAAGTTTGTCTTTTAGTCATTTTTAACAATTGTGGTATAATTGAGTAAAAACTAGTTTCTGGGCAGACAGGCGTTAGTCAGTGGAGGACTCTTCATCTTTCTGTGTTTCCAAACCAATTATTGGTCATTTTTGAAATATATTATTTTATATGGCCGACTATTATATAATAAATTGCAGTGTTGATTTAAAAAAAAATAATCTTGAAATACACAAGAAGCTAAATTTTATGGGTGCAGAGAAATAGATTGCCCATGGGGTGACTTCTCGCTTCCACCCCAATACCTTCTCTTCTTCCTTCTCCTCCACCCCCATTCTAATTCCCATCATCATCATCATCATCTTAGAGCCTTCTACCTCAAGCGAAATGAACTTTTTTCTACCATTTTGTTGAATTTGGGAGGTTGACTGGAACCAATTACCCAAAACCCAGTGAAACAATAGTTTGGGATTAACAGGCTTTACCAGTTCATGAACATTTGATTTAGAGATTATATTACATTATAATTTGGGTATTGGTACTAGAGGCATCATCAGGCACGTTTATTCTCTAAGTTGATTAATTTTTGAACCATACGCATTACCTGTTTATTTTGAACTCTGCGATACTTATCACATTACTGCCAGCTCAATTACCTCGGTAGCTACAACAACCAGTCATATTTCTCTCATTAACTATAGTCGGGGTTTATTTTTGCTGATGGTACTAGTCTAAAAAGCTCCCTTCTCCGAAAGCGTGAATTTGTTTGTGACTTCGACGGCAAATATTCTTTATTTCAAATTTTTTACCACAAATCTTGAAAAGTTAATGTTTTAAAGCAGTTACTGTACTGTATATCATTACATACATTAAGTTTGGTATTAAAGGGAACCAGGACTGGGTATCCTCAACAGTTATAAATTAATTTATTTGCAATATATCAATATTTAGTGAACATTATGAATGAGCCAATTAGGGGGCCAGAGCTTGTTTGACTGTCGACTTAAAAAAAAATAAATAAATAAAATACATGTATATCCCAATCAAAAATACCATATGAACTAATAATTTTCTGACATTTATCTACAGATACATACACAATAAAGTCAGACATCCCAATATAATTTTTTTAAGTTAATTGCTATCTTAATTCACTCCATCAGTCTCTTACCATATTGTACATCGTAAATCCTCACATTCCCTCAAATTAAATTCTTGTACAAGCTATGAATTACTTTTTAATGCAGGTAATGATTGATGATGTTTGTACAAGAACATGTAATGGCATAACACTTTGTATTCAATGTTTTCCTAATTGGTGAGTTGGATGTGGTGAAAACAGGCCCTGGCCAGTTTTATCTCAGAATTTAATACCTTTGGATTATTTTTTGCAGATGTGTACCAAACAATAGTAAATGACCTATGCAAAAAAAACAAAGGTGTTAAATTATGAGACACTGGCCAGGGCCTGTTTTCACCACATCCAACCCACCAATTAGGAAAACATTGATCGAGGTAGAGCAAGTCCTTTGGTACAGACAACATCACAAGTCCTTCTGCTTACATCATCATTACCTAAAAGATTACAATAAATTACCACTGATAAAAGAAATAGGGACTTTATAAACACAATGTATAATGCGCTCTGAGTATTATACAAAATATAAACTTCATAAAATTATTATTGACAGTTTTACCAAACAGAAACATGGTGACTTAACCCTTAAACCTTGAGTGACATTCCTGAACTTTTACGGTTAAAGAATCTCCAAAATATATCATTTGCACACCAGCGATCCTAACTTTTGAATGTTTTAACAGTTTTCAGTTGGTATCATTATCACATCAATGCAGGTGTCACTTTTAAGAATCATCATTCAGGTATGTGGGTAATTTGTTACCTCAGATAGTGGTGATCCTGACTTGCCAGATAAGAGGACACTTGGAAGACCTATCTGTAATGCCCAATTCCTGCTCTGTAAAATCAGGTTGGCAATATCGTAAGACAGACGTACGTACTAGCATGAAAGCACAAAGGGTTCCATGTGCATCCCTTAATTATCTCAAGGTTCTGAAGATGCTCAAGGCAAATCAAATTATTCTACACCATTACCTTAAGATATTTCAGTTTCTTGGTTATGGCTTGTTTGCATCTTCTCCTGCTGTGCTGTAGAGAGACCTTCTTGCTCCCTTTGGTATCTTTTTAAGGTTTGCTGTGTTCTCTTCAGGGCAATATGACCTTTAGTACTCATCCTCTTGTGTGGAGTTGAAACTGTGACTTTTTGTTGGATCAACTTCATAATATCAATCTGTTAAACATGTTGCTATTAGTTTTAAATAAACATTTATTTATATTTAGTTCAAGGAATCAATTTTAAGATAGTTACTCCATGGAAATTACAGTTCCAATACTTAATAATGAACGAACACCAATATGAACAGGGTTAAACTTGAAATTTACAGTATAGTATTTTATTTACCTGATGACTTATTTTTTACCTTCATTTACTGTATTTTGTCATTCCATTTCTTCTTTTGTCTTAAATTAAGTGATTTTAGATGTATATAATGACTTAGGCTATGATATAGTGGGATTTTAAATATTGTTTTGCAAATATTGTATGCAAAAAACATGTGTTCAAATTTACGAACGTCCTCAGGAACGGAACCCGTTTGTAACCCAGGGACCTTTTTGGATCCCATACAGTGCACATACAGTACTTGTGATAACTGTAATAAGCCACTATCATCCTCATCAAATATTTACTGGCACCATGTTACACAGGGAGAGGTTCAAAATACTGTACAGTAGACCCTTACTGGACTCTTTTAAGAAAAATACTGTACACTATATTTGTAAAATGTCTCTCTATAATTCACGAAAAATTATCAATTTTGGACTATCATACAGTCCTGAATATGTACAGATGATTCTTCATCCTAGGTTAATAATTAAACCTTTAATTGGTCATTATTAGTTTGCCTTTTAATGATAAACTGATACCATGGATAATGGTAATACTGTACAGTATAACGATACTATACTTTATATTTCATCATATACAGGGTACAGTACTTACCTTGTCTGGAATGTGTACATATCGAATTTTTCGACCCATTATGTGAAAATTATTCATCATAACTGTTTTCCCATTACCATCAGTATACCGGGCATCTGTCATTTCCATATTCATTTTCCTGCAAAGACAAAGCCCAAAATACTATAATGGTAAAAGATAAATGCAGTCGACATAAACATAACAAATACACTGGACATTCTCTGGAGCCACAATGTCTTTAAATGACTGTTACAATCTTACAATAGTCGTGTACTCTGGTTGATAATTTTGCTATTGAAGGTTTACTGTACTCAAGGTGGTGGATGTATGGCACAGTAATGAATACCGTAACTAAAGAAAAAAGTAATAAGATTTAATTAAGGAGCTGTTGAATATACAAGTATGCTTATTCTTTTGTTTGATCACTTGGTCAAACAGACTTCAATTCTGTCTCATTAGAATTTGGGAATTTTTTGTGGCCATCTGTTGAAAAGGGAAATTTTCTGGTAGTGTATGTAAATACTACACAAATAAAACTTACACATCAACATCTGTAATCAATCCTGAAACAAACGTATCATTGTGGAGTTCAACTGTTGTCTTCCATCCTGTTAGCCCCATGACCAGACAAGTCAGGGTGTTGAGTTCCTTGTGACGACTGCGTGCCAGTAAACCCATTGTTCAACATCAAAACCTGGAAGTAAACATTGTTGAAAATCAAAACAATTAATCAAGGATGTCACCACTAGGCAAACATTGAACTCCTTTTTAAATATTTCCTGGTTGTCTTCATCAGTCCTTCCTGAATATTTATCATTTTGGGGGTTCCTACAGCTCTTACTCTTATCCATCCATCAGTCTTGTTACTTCCCCTGGTCATCCTACATTTTACCCTTTATTATCTGTTACCATTATCCTCTCATCACTAATTATCCAGTAAGATTAAAGTTTCTCAATTTCCTCTGTCTATAAATTTCCAGTATTTTTTAACATTATTTCAAAGACTTCAATTGATAACTTTCTCATTCTCCTATTGCACCACACTTCAAAGACCTCCGCCTCATTCTGGTGTCAGCTGAAAATGTTCACACTTCTTACCCATACAAAAGCACTGACCAGACAGCAGCTACATAGTATTTATCAGCCCTTTTCTCAAACCTAAGCAAATGTCCTTCCCTAACATAAGTCTAAGATTATTGTGTGCAATTTTTATTTGACATTCTTGTTTTAAATCTCTTTCATATCTGCCATTATAACTAGCCTTCTGTACATGTAACATGTATTTACCAAATATACAAATTTTCCACTTCTTCAAGGTCCCTTTAGCCTTGGTTTAGTAAAACTTAAAACTGATGAATTTCAGTCTCGCCAAATGTCAACAACGGCAATGGTGATTTGACACCTGTTAAATACAAGATTAAAAAATGTTCCATTAATCAACTACCCAGTAAGTGGTCTTTCTCATGTCTGAGGGTTGGTGACCACAGACCTCCAGTGGCTATCTTTAGCAACCAATCCTCCCATTATTTTGTATCTTAAATTTCTGTTTTTGCGTTTTCATTTATCCTAATCAAAAGGAAACATTATTTTTCTTCAATAGACGAACAAAACTAGATGGCCGAGCTTATGTACAGGACCATCCTGCAACTAACTCCAAAAGGCTATATACAGGACTCCTGCAGCTAACTCAAAAGGCTATATACAGGACCGTCCTGCAGCTCACTCAAAAAGGCTACTGTATATACAGGACTGTCCTGCAGCTAACTCAAAAGGCTATATGAGAGATGTCCGGCACTAACTCAAAGGCTATATACAGGACCGTCCGTCTCAAGGCAACTAACTCAATAAGGCTATGTACAGGACCATCCTGCAACTAACTCCAAAAGGCTATATACAGGACTCCTGCAGCTAACTCAAAAGGCTATATACAGGACCGTCCTGCAGCTCACTCAAAAAGGCTACTGTATATACAGGACTGTCCTGCAGCTAACTCAAAAGGCTATAGACAGGACCGTCCTGCAGCCAACTCAATGAGGCTATAAACAGGACTGTCCTGCAGCTAGCTCAAAGGCTATATACAGGTCCGTCCTGCAACTAACTCAATAAGGCTATATACAGGACTGTCCTGCAGCTAATTAAAAAAGGCTATATACAGGACTGTACTGCAGCTAACTCAAAAAGGCTAGACAGGACCATTCTGCAGTTTTGGAACATCCTTTTTTGAGCCATATTCATGTCATGACATGTCATGTCAGGACCAGACATAATAATTATGACATGACATGAGATGGGTATTGCATGAAAAAAAAAGATTTATTTTGAAATTACACAAAATCTCAGGAGATTACCCAAAATAAAAACAGTCCTGTAGCTATTATAGCCTTTAAGAATTAGCCTCAGGAGGGACCTGTATATAGCCACGTCCTGTTCTCTGCAATACTGGTTGAATAAAGGTGGTTTATTGTTCCCCTCATATTACACTATCACTTAAGTTAATCTCTCGGAGCTGGACATTTTCTCTAAGCTGAAGAAAAGGTAATTTATGAGGAAACCACTACCACCAGAAAACGTTTATGGTAGTCCTTTGCTTTTTGCTTACCGAGTACTTGTTTTCGTGATTGTAAGTACAGTACTGTAGTTTAGAAGTTGTGAAAATGTTATATTTTCACTATTAGGTAGGGTAGTTTTTTTATATACATATCTACCATCATAAATCACCTGTAGTGGGTAAGGCATGGGGGGTGAAACAGGGTGAAAAACCATAGGACACTAAAATGATGTATGTACGTGCTTTGTACATGAAGAAATTAATTTTTTATCATAAATACTCCTCCCAAAATACTGCCTTGTCAGCAGGTGTTGTCGTCCGCATACTCACACGTAAAATTACACTATGACGCTTCAACAGTTATTTTCATTGATATCAGATATCAATGTAAGTGCTTTCTGTTTAATATGGCAGGGGCCCTGTCTAGGAAGTTAGCAAAGGTTAGGCAGTTTCTAGTATATGTCGACTCTTTTAAAATATTTACGATAATAAGAAAATATCCTGGAAAAAATGAAAGGAATCGAACAACTCCTTATTCGACCAAAATTTAAAAAAAAATAGAAAAGTTGAGGCTACTGAACTCTGGCAAGCATCATCCACACTCCATATTAACTCACAACAAATACTGTATATCAACACACACCTTTCTAACAACTCTAGCCGTCTTCCTATTCTACACCAGTGAAATTCAATCAATATATTCTGACACGGCCACTCCTGTTGAATGCAATTGATGCTAAATTGGTTACAGAAGAATCACCATTCCGACACAACAATATTATGATCACGACGTAATTGTCAATGTTGCCAACTCTAGCATTCTAAGAACTCGCTAAATTTTACCCAGATCAACCCAAACTCGGTATCATTCAACAAATTAATCCAAAAGTCCTGTGAATTCATTAAAAATTATCCTAATAGTCCCCACAGTTTATTAAAAGCAATATAAAAATGTTGCTTAAGAGAGCTAAGAATAAGCTAGCTTTGACAGGTTTTTCAGCTAATTTGGCACAACTGGGAATCGTCATAACAATTGTTGACACCTCACACCTGATAAAGCAATAATTACTTATATATTTTCAGGCAACTGCGATGGGTAGTTGAATCCTGGGACGAATTTCTGCTTGGTAGACCCAGCTCGGCAGACTGCTTACTATAGTAGCACCTGTCTCAACAGTTCATATACTAAAATTATGCACAGACTTCCATATACAAATACCTCAATACATCACTATATATATATATATATATATATATATATATATATATATATATATATATATATATATATATATATATATATATATATACCGTATATAATATGAGGGAAGCGTGAGCGGTAAAGTAAAGACTCAACAGATGGCAGCAGCTTCACTGGTGACGTTTACTGGAGTGTTGCCAATGCCAATATCATTTCAACTTTCCTGTCTCCCCCACCATCCAGCCCCCGCTCCCCGTGAACTGCTTGCTCTCCCGCTGGAATCCGGGTATGACAATAAGTGATTAGTGAAGGATTAACGTTAATTTAAACAATTATTGCTTAACACAGCAAAATGCCTAAGATCCAGTTTTCGCAGAAGTTCCTAAGGGAGTGACTGCATGATCTAGAGCTAGAAAATTGGTTGACCGGAATGTAAAAAGGGGAAGCATGTAGCGTACTGTGGTGTGGCCAGTAGTCAATTCTCTTTAGATGCCTATTTTCTCTTTGTATGGCCACACAAACGTACGTACATGTAGATATCTCACACTCAGGAATGAGGTAGAAAAGAAACTCACGATGCGTTTTCTGTATATATATTGTTGTACAGAGCAGTGCTAAGGAGTTACTAGGTGAGGAGTAGCTTGCTCAGAGGTCCGGTAGGGCGAGGAGCTCTGTGGAAGCTGGGTGGTGAGGCGCTGGAGAGAGATCTTGCTGGTCCTGTAGGTCAGAGTAGAATCGTCTCCCTGGCCAGCCATGGCCGTATTTATACAATTTACGAGGATCAGGATTTGGGGTTAGCATAGCGAGAGGGCCAATCACAGAGGAGGAGGCCAGGCACACCCGGCACTCTGGTCTTAGCGTTGCTACGTGTGCGTCCGCACTGGAGAGTAGGTCTACTGGCACCGCTGGCTGTACGCTGATTGGCTGGTAGGCGCACGGGAGCTCAGTCGTTCCTTGTAGGGGATGGAGTCCACTACAATACTAACCATTTGTGGGGGTATGAGATATTGGTTCACCCTCAGGATGGGATGGAGAAAGGAAACTCACAATGTGCTCACTGTATACATATTGTATTGGATGTACAATGTAGCTTGTTGCTGGGTCGGTAGCATAGTAATAAGCGTTGAGTAGAGAGAGCTGGGTGGTGAGGGTGCCCAGAGTGAGGGCACGCGGCTTGAGGGACGCCAAGGTCGCTGGCGGGAGCGGCAGCCTCCAGGCTGGCGCGGAGGGGGAGGTGTTGCTTGCTGATGGCACTGTGTAGAAAGAGGGTGGTCACAGCGGTGTCAGGTCTTATAAGGCGGGGGTAGGCGTGGGTAGATAGTTGACCCCCGCTCCGTGGGCGGCGCTGGAGGCGTAGGCTGGGGAATTCGAGAAGGTTCGGTGCTTGTAGGGGAGGAATCCACTACAAGCACACTCGCCATAACAAAAAAGCACAAAACAAACGCTGAAGCATTTTCTGGTGCCAGACAACCGACACTACCATTTTAACCTGTTAATAAAACTAGTGAAACACAGATGGCTGAAGGGGGAATGTCATTGTTCATTGCAGAACATACGTTAGTTGTAACATGTGATCACTTGAATAATTAATGTAAAGATTGTTTTACTGATAGTAAGATTGCATCTCTGACACAAATTCGAAGATCAAAATGTAGTAGTGTAATTAAAAGCATCTTCTACTCTCATTTCAAGTCTGCCATAACAGTGTTACTGAAGACAATCCGTAGTTTACTAATAGAAGAGTCAACAGATATTAGTGTTAACAAATATCTTGGAACAGCAGTAATTTACTTTGAGGAAGTGAAGGAGAAAATAGACTCTAATTAGCAGGTTAGTAGTCTGTATTGATATGCATTGGTAATTTATTTCAGTGTCTATGAAAATAATTATCTGATATTAATATTTCCATTTTTGGGTTATGTACATACAAGTTTACTTTGGGCTCTCTCTTTCGAATACATTTATATCGTATTAATTCAAAGGAAACGAGCAGATCTGTGGCGAAGAGGATAAAGGTAAAAGTAACGTTAAAAGAAAAAAAAGTTGCGGTTTTGGGCATCAATCTAGCGGGTTTGGAGGACTAGTCTAGCGGGAACTAACATTTTCATTTGGCATCACTGCATCTACATGTAAACAAAAATGACAGACTTGAACCGAGAGCTGAAGGAGTACTTATCGAGGGGTGATGGCAAGTCTGAGTCAAAGGTGCCACTATTGCCGACGACCATCAGTGACATCAAGATCCCGAAAATAAGTTCTTGGTTTACACGAAATGGCAATGCGGCAAATGAAGACGAGGACACAGCGTCTTCCTCCTCCTGGTCCTCATCACCACAGTCTGACCCTTGTCTGCCAAGCCTGGTGAGTCGTGTTAGATAGATACAGTGGTATAGTGAGGAGGAGGTTTAAACTCCCATATGAATTACGTGCAGAATATGAAGAAAAAATAACCAGAGTAAGTAGAGAAAGAATGGGAACATTTACTGAGACACATCACTCACCTGGCAGCAGGAAACAATATCACGAACTTCATTCTTGTGTCTAAAATTACATGTAAGTGTACAGCTCCTAATAGCTTCACCTCTTGGACCCCTGTTTGAGCACTCTTGTTGGTAATAGAGTGTGTGTGTGTGTGTGTAATTTTGACACATACACATGACATTTAGTGCTATTAATCACCATGCACTGCTTGCGGTCATGAAGACACTCTGATCCATGCTTGGGCGCTCCTTGAATTCTGTACCCTTCCAGTTTAATTTTCAGTCTGTCATAAGGATTTTGCCAAAAAACATAAACTTTTGTTTATATCATTGATATATGAAGCACATAAGGGCATTATTACATGGTTGTAGCTCTATTAGTGTGTATGTCGTGGATCACTTATCTATTTACCGTAACTATAAAGTGGGTGTTAACTCTTCAGTCTTTTGTTGTTTTGTCGGCAAACATAACTAATGAAGCTCCATTACTAATGCTGTATGGTGATATAATTCATGTTAGGCATTACTACACTACTGTGAATTACTTGAGGCTAATTATTAAATAAATAATTGGTCGATGAATATTCTATATTATGTTTGGGAAAATAAGTCAGCATGTGTAAACATTATAGACTTACTGTGCTTAAAATGTTAGAAGAAAATTTCAAGGAAATTCTTATGTACAGGAAAGATTGGCAGTCCTAGTTCAGTTCTTTATTGTACAGTACAGTATATCATTATTAAACCACATATTTGCACATGCCTTAAAGACAGCTAATTCCTGATTATTATTGTATGGATAAATAGCTTCCAATTAAGAATTTATTAATATTTTTATATAATGCACTGAACCCTTGTAAACATTTTTAGGGTAGGAAACAGAGGATCCTAGGATTTTTGGCTTGTGTTGTGATGGGCCTAATCTGCTTCTCGCTGGCTGCGATGTACTTCCCACTCTTGGTGTTCAAGGCTCGCAAGTTTGCCTTGCTCTTCACTTTAGGAAGCTTATTCTCTGTTTTAAGGTAGGTTGTACTTATCTTTTGCTTCTTATTCTCTCAATATTCTTATACAGGTATGATATTATTATAGCAGACCCTTGTCACATCACTCTGACATTTATTTAATTTATTTTGATGTCTTCTCTTAATTTCTGTATTTCATATTTTCTACAGCCTGTTTTCAGTAATATCCCTAACAAAAACACTTGATCAAGACATCCTCTTAACTCTTAAATGGCAGCCTTCATTGGTGGAAGTTAGCTGTATGGACAGTGGCCATCATGTGTGGAAATTTCACATTTCCTTCCGCTCCATTTTTGGTCTTTTGGTGAGGGGGAACAGGAAATCTTTAGCTGCTGATAAAGGATTAATACACTCAGTTTACTTGCCGTAAACCTCCCCTGAATTTGGAAAACATCTCCCATACCGTGCAGGGATATGTAGCCTCACACGTTCAGCATCACATGCCCACTTCTGGCCACCTCGTACTGTATATGTGCGCCCTGTCGTATCTGCAGGAAGGGAAAATACAATACAAATATAAATATATTGGCCTAATTAAGCTATTACATCTTATATTAAGTTTGTAGTATAATATTTGAAAAGAAATTTTAATGTTATGCGATAATCTTTTATTTGAAAATGTATCCAGGTAATGAGCTGTTCGATGTTTTACGGCTATATCGACAAGTACGGTCTAAATCTTATTTTAATCATTATGGACGTGTTAATATGTTAAGTTTACTTGCCTCGTGCGATTTGGCCGCCACAAATGAATTTTACCGTTGTTAGTACTGGCAAAAGTCTTCTCCTCCGTGAAGACTACTCGACCAAAACTCCGGGTCCTCCCCCACATATTGCTGGGCAAACTGGAGGCGACCAGTGCGGTGTTGGTCAGTTAGCCGTTCTTTTATAGCAGGGACTCTGTGTTGTATGTCCGCCTCATGCAAACATGACCTGACAGTCTGTGCACAGACATCTAAGAGAAACGCCTCTCTGATGGCGACAGGGTTGGAGAACGGGTTGTTTTGGATTGCTGCTTTTATGGCGGCATCCTCATCCCTAGTAGTCAGTCGGGGGAGTGGTCTTCTTTCTGAAAATAGACACAATAATGTTTTTGGATCTCCTGTGTCATAACCTGGTATGCCATTAATGCTATGGCATACACTCATATCCTTTAACAAAAAATCATAATATTTACATTATAATACTGTATTTGCTTTATCATATCATTTACAGGGTATATAAAAATATATCTTTGATATTGTTTATTTCATCGTTCAATCTGAAATTTTCATACATACTCAAATTAGTTAAAATACCCGTTTCGGCATATCTCCTGATCCACCTCTTCACAGTTGAAGTCGAAACAGCAAGTCAGTCTGCGATGGCACGCACCGTAAGGCCTTCTTCTCGGAGGGCGATTATTTGGCTACGAGTAGTTTAGCGCTGTTGCGTTGTGTTCATGGTGACAAAAGTAATGCCCACTGTTGATCCCGTATTCACAACAACACTTTGGTCAAGCTCTTATTGGCTGATTAGACCATGCCAAGTGATATGTGATTGGTGGGCGTAAAACCAGATGCTGACGTCATAAATATTATAGGTAACTATTGAAAATGTTGTTACCTAACAATGAGTGCACAGTCTTTTGCCGAACAATTGTCGATTTTTAGTTCAACAAAGGGGAACCAGATATTAAACTCCATACATCAGTTGCCACTTGGATGCTTCAGTTTTCCAATAGCACACATTTCACATACTGTATAATTCGTGTTATAATTGCCATAATTACGAATGTAATTTATACACACCCACTGATTGATAACTATAATATACGAAGATACAATGTCGTGACTGACAAGTGAGTCTATTACACAGTGTCTGCTCTCTAAGTTATGTCAAATTATATTGTGTAATGCTCACATTGTAGAGACAGTTAATTCCTTCATGGAACACTCAAGATTAAATGTGGAACATATATTCTTGAAATTTTATGTGAGAATCTTGTGGCAGCCCTGGTTGTAGCTGCATTGCCAATTCATTGATATAATTTTTTCTTTATTTAAGCAAATATACGAATATTTGGAAGCTTGTCATGATCTTAAATAACAATGAATAATTTATTATTATAAAAATGCTACTTTTGGATTGTTTAATATTTATCCTGACAGTGATACAGCCAAAAATAGATCCACCAATCACAATCCCCATTACATACAGCCTTCCTTCCTTCAAGTATTGCCAGGTAAAATTGTGAGTACAAGAGCCAGGGTGAGGTTGATGGAACTTTGCCTGACTGTACATACAGGTTTATTAATAAATTTCATTAAATGTGCATGGAGGAAAATTATGGTGTTTAACTTAGGTAAGCTTTAGAAATACAACACAACCAGTACAGTACATATTGTATAGATTTATATTAAAGTAAGGTACAGTATCTTAATATTAGGTTGATTTGCATTGAAGGTACTGTAGTAATTTATTGGAGTGTGGCAGTCGAGTGGATAGAGTACTTGCTGCCTGTTTCTTGGGTCAGTGGTTCGATCCCCAGGCACTTTCAGTTCACACAGCTGTAAATGGGTACCTAAGTTTACAACTTGGGGAAGTGAGTGCAGTCGAGTGCAGTACCAGCCATGCTGCATCCTTGTGTACTGAAGGCTTAGTACATGTATACAGTGTGCTATATCCACACTGTCCTTAACAGGCTGTCATGTCTATGGGATTTAAAGTAATTTGTGAAATATGCTTGGAGGAAATGTTAGAGTGTCTTAATTTACTGTGTATAAGCTGGTGGGACTGTACGTACATATGCTACTGTCAAAGATGAAAAAAAATTCCCTTGTACTGTAAAGATTTATATTATAGGTTTGTATAGAATGTAATAATTTATAAAATATGTTAGTGCTTAGAGGGCATATTAGTATGTATAACAGTTTAACACGTATGTAAGTTCAGTGTATTGTTTGACACATTGTCCAGTAAACTTTGTCGGCCGCCATGCTGTGTCGTCTCAATATTTGCAAATACTTGTGCAGGTATGGAACCATTTATCTGGCATACTTGGTATCCAGGGGTTGCCAGATAGGGTTTTTTTCTGGAATTTGGATCACTGGGCCTAAAATGTACAGTAAACCGTATGTAACTGGCTGTGAAGACTGTTCAGATCACTAGATTCACTCCTAAAAGTAGCATTAACTGTACAGTGTCGCATTAAAACATAATACTGTAGGCATATAAATATCAGTAACTAAAGTACCTGTAGTATATAGATTTCACTAATGAATGCCCCCCAAAAAAATAAAATAAAAAATAAAATTGTGCACGTTACTGTACAAACTGAGTTGCTGTCTCCTGTTATACTTGCCTTGGCAATACAGCAGCGTCCCTAGCAACAGCGCTCCACCATGGACCCTCTGACCTCTCCACACACTCACCACATAGTTTCACGCTTGAAGCCCGTAGATACTTAAGGATTTATACCTTTTGATAATTATTTATTTTATTTATTTTTTTGCACTTTCTGTGTGTAGGATTGTGTTTGTATGCGAGTAAAAAAATTACATTAGAGCTCACCATTGGGGAACAGTTGGAAATTTCTCGCTCGGCCCAGGAATTACTTGGTGCTCATTTAAATAATTCGTTCCAGAACATAACCATTTTTTTTTTAGCATTCTAGATTCTGGGAGACAAAAGATGGAAAAGCAGTGCATGCACATAGCGGCTATCTTGAATTTGAAGGGAGAGATGCATTTCGCCAATGTTTATACTCTGTATCAGTGAGTTTAGTCTCCTGACAACTTTCGTTAATGTGGATTTTGCGTAACGTAAATCACGAGAGGGTGTTAAAACCTAACTAAAGTTCACGCAGATCATCATAAATAGTGGAATACAGTACCTGTACTGTACAGTCAAACAGAATGCAAAGAAATCAATATTTTTTTTATAGATGAAAGCAGTTTGAAGGTAGATTGTTAGTATTGTGTTTTAGAAGAAAAAAAAGAGTACAGTACAGTACAGTATTTGGTAAAGCTTTTTATGTTTATTTCCTTATGACTAAACATAAATGAACCCCCCTATCCCCTTCCCCACTCCCTTGCTGTTGATAAGGTGAGCTAGATGTGTAGTATTAGTCCTGATGGAGTACTGTACTGTTTAGCTAATGGCAGCACATAAACAGTTCTTGACAGTAGCATAACCCTCAAGAATTCTCTCTCTTTAGGGGACACCTTACCCAGAGGTTGTCCTTTAGGAGGAGTTTGGAGTGTAGATGAAGGATTAGCAAAGTTTTGAATTTAGTGGAGTATTAGATCTCAGCTACACTTCAGGGTTCAGACCTGTTTGTAGACTTGTTGGCTATACTGTGTGGAGTTGCTTGTTCCTGACACAGTTATATTATAGGGTGTTGGAGTTAGTGCTCATTCTTGCATGGTTAGTAAGAAATATGGTAAAATGTTGACTGAGAGATGATTTATGGAAGGAAGAAGTTTTGTACATCAGATGTATTGACTTCATCAAGTTTTACAGACTATATGAGGCTGTTTGTCACAATTATAAGAAACCTATAAGATGCACAACATCAGCTGTGCCATGTTGCTGATAAACTTTTTGCCTCTTTGGGATGATTGAACTAATATACATTTTTTCAATCTTTTCAGTTTCTCTTTCCTGTGGGGTCCAGTAAATCACCTAAAACATCTATTTTCGTCAGAACGACTTATGTTTACTTCAATTTATTTTATCTCATTGTTTGGAACACTCTACTTTGCACTCAGTTTGCAGTCAACAGTTCTTACTTCTATAGGAGCCATTGTACAGGTGGCTGCATTACTGTGTTTTGTTCTAAGTAATATACCAGGTGGCCAAACAGGGCTCAAGTTTTTCTCAAGCATATGCTCTTCCGTGGTAAAAACTACAGTCTCCAAAGCTCTGCCAGTCTAGCTGTATTTTCATGCTGTATTTTTCTACTCTCATTGTGTATACACTTCAATTGTTATGTGTTGTGTGTGAATCTCCTACACGTGGTAGTTAAGGCCAGTTTTCAATTTTTCACTTGTATGGGCAAAATTACATTTGCAATCTAGTTGTGGCCATTTTCTTTTCCACATGTATCTTATCTCCATTGCCTAGTTTAGTACAGTACAGAAAAGCCCTCCTTAATGTAGTAAAGGACCTAGATATGATATCTGTTACAGTATCCCTAAATTTTTATTTTGCAATTTTAGTACAAGGACATTTATTAAGCAGGAAAAGCCTTTAATAAGTTTACAAAATTTGTGATTTTAAGAGATAAAGGCAATTGATCGTAACCCTTAGACTGTGACTGTTGTTGAAAAACCTGCTTACTGATGTACAAAGGGAAAATCATGAAAATGTGTTCCAGTCTTATAAAATTCAAGAGATGAGTGCAGAAGAAAAGAAAAAAAAGTTTACTTACATTTGTTCAGCTGTTGTGGAGTGTTTAAGTGAACATGTTGGGACTGAGTGGCTAAGGGGTAGGAAGGAGGAACTTAGGGTGGCAGGGAGAGGGCAGACTGTCATTACCGGTGACAAACATGTGTCTTCCACAATAAAAAAGGCAACTGAGAGCCCTATTGAGGTGTGAGTAGCATGAGGAGAGCTATTGGGACACATTACGTGATTCATGAATGATAAAATTGGTTTGCATTTTAGAAAAAAATTAATGCTCTCTTATGAGGCAAGTAGCAGTATTACAAGTGGAATCACGTGAAGCATATCACATTATAAGGGTTAAAACTGCAAGCTAATATATAGTGTAGAAATTTGAGCAAAGGTCGGAGAATGAAGAATACTTTTATTGGTTTTTCAAGGGATTTTGAATTGCAGGTGAGAAACAGCTGTAAATTTTCCTTATTCTGAGAAAGTTTCATTAAGTTGAAAAATTGTGATGCCCAGCAGATCAAGTGTGTTAATTATATATTTTACCAGAAGGAAGAATACAATTGATGGTTGTTTAATATTGTTATGAACTTGTTAGAATTGCAGGACTGTATAGAACTGTATCATAATCACAGTACAGAAAATTCTGAAATGAGACATTCACATGGTCTTGGTCAACAAATACAAGGCATTTTTTAAAACAGGTCTTTCCTTATCAATAGGATTTCTTCATCAAAAACTCATGTTGTGGTCCGGTGGTGAGGGATGCTAATATTGTATGCCCCATTATTAATTACCATTTAATCTACTTTAAATCATATACACTACAGCTGTTACAATATTACAATGGAATCAAACATGAATGAACTTTATGGAGGGAATGAATTGTTGTTAATCATGGCTGGAACATTTAGTGTGTAGTAAACTGCTGGTTAGTCCTTTGTGTCATATTTACAGTACACACCAGAACACTTTTATATATATACTAAAAATAGTCAAATGCATTATGGAAGTAATGTGGTATTTAATATTTTTTAACAAAACAACCAATATAGAGAAAGAACATTTTACATGACATCTGATGATATGGTTCACTGCCAGTGTACCCAAGTGCAAGATGATGCGTATTGGCCAGTGTTGTTCTCTGAGTACTGATTGGCTGCTTGGTACTAGTTGACATGTATAGTGGATTATTATTTAACTACAACCAAATCTACAATAATTGCTCCCCGTGGAAGCCACAGCAAGTAAAGGCCTGGCGATTGGACAAACCCTTCTTCCTCCCTCCCATTTCTAAACATTTCTGGGTAGTTTTGGAAATATCATGGTTTACAATGTTGCATTGTGTCAATATCGGCCATTATTGGTTGTGGCTTCGGCTACTAGGGAGGGGGGGTGTAGCATTAATTGCTTCTGCCTGTACATTGCAGCATAAAAATATACACTACAGTATTGTACAAATGCACAGTGCACCCTTACATATATGAACATGTACAAATAATCATACACACACACTAATGAAGACAAACTTAATAGAGATACACTCTTAAACACAAGCATTACTGTACTCCTATACACACAGAAAAACTTTTACAATATATACATACCGTATTGATGGGGAAAATAGAGAGATATACACATATTGGCAGTGGCCCAGTTACCACCTGATGTACACCAAATTATGTACAGTACTGTATATTACTTTATAGACACACATACAGATACTGTACACACACTTACAAACATAGATAATACTCACAAATTCACTCTTACCTGTATATGCATATACAGTACTGTACTGTATTCCTAAGTGCTGTACATACAAACATGCTAACATACATATTCACACATAGTGGCAAACACACTTATGCACACCATACAGTGACCTTACAGCATCATTGAGGTGGTCTAATACTGTACAGTGGTCATGCGGTGGCTTACCAACTGTGAGGTAAAATGTAGTCAGCACTGTGTTCATCTCCCTGGTGACCCTATGCTAAAATTTCATCACCACCAGACCAGATAGGTGCAAAACCAGATTTACTCATGTGTGGCATACTGGTCAGGTGTTGACAGCTCCCATCAAATACTTTACAGTAGAGTGTATGTGAAATCCATTTGTTCGTGAATCATAAAACTGGAATTTTTTAATTTTTGAAGAATACAACAAATATATAGAAAAAAAATCATTACTGTACTGTAGTCTCACAGCTAGAATTTTAATCACCCTCTTCCATTCGGGGTGGTCATCGTGATTGCAACCAGCTTTAAAAAATTGAATCGTGAATAACTCCTCACTATAGAGCTTGACAGGGAAGGTACGGAGGTAAAAATGACCTTGTTGTATTGGAATTCATTCATTTTACTATCACAGCTCCCTGTCAATCACTGTGGTGTGGTGTCCTCCGTGACTCGAATTTGTTAAAACTCTGTTTGTAAACATGACGAGCCCCATCAACAGGAAAGGTTCATTAAAACTCTGGGCATAAGTTTTTCACAGTGCTTGGGACCTATTATGGTTTAGTGAATTTTGCAGAATAGAGAGATTAGTTCCCTGCCCAATGCTACCCTGGTCATTAGTCTACAACTGCATGAATATACAGTAGTTGTATGTCTAATAAATTTAAAACCCAAATGCAAGTACAGTACTGTATAATACATTAATGTAGTTCAGACCTCAGACCAGGTAGATTGCAAGGTTATTGCAGTGATATACAAGTTTGTGAATGACTATCTTAACGTTTACATGTACAGTTGCGGATAAAATTACCTGGACGCTTGGCAGTACTGTATCTGGCATGTGAATACTTAAAGATCATTAGGTGAGGGTGATTGTAATGTTAACATATTTTATCCAATTGTTCTTTGTCTGAAGGAGTGTTTTTTGTTTTGTAGTTCTGACATAAAATGTGATGAAATACTGTGCAGTGTTATTAGATATAAACTAATCATATATATATGACTCAGAAGTAGATGCCAGATATTGCCAAGTGTTCATAGAATTTAGTCCACAACTGTACATTATTGACTTTCTTAACAGTTACACGAGCAGTAATTGGGATAATTAGTCGAGTCCTCGCATGGCTTAGTTTTCACCTATGTATGCAGAGTGTTTTTCCTAATATGTATGTTTGTGTGTTCCATGATGAACAGATATTCTGTAATAAACTTTATTAAATTATTGATTATTAAACTGTATATATTTTTGTGCCACCACCATTTTTGAATATCCGAATTTGCAGTGTACAGTACAGAGGTGCGAGACCTTGATACTGTACTGTGCTTTAACAAGTCACCAGTTGGTTTATTATATGGTGGAGATTGTATGAGGATTTTGTGGACATGTATTGCATATATAAAATCATTCAGGATCAATTTAAAAAAAAATAAATATGTTTAGAATACAGAACTGAACATTTTCACATCAAAATATCATGATGTGACACTGTATTGTACTGTATACAAATGTCCATTATATTTTAAAGTATACTCGTATAGTGGTTGAAAATTTCAGGTCTGTGCTTCCAAATATTCCTCCACTGTGACAACAATTGTTTTAACTGGTATTGAATTGAGCATATACTCTGGGTTAGTGTTGCTATAATATACATAATGAGTTCAGGAACTGTGTACTGTATATTACCTTGTTATGTCTCATGAGCTTATTCAGTTCTCTCATCACTATTTATTGTCTATGATGGTAAGCTGTTGATGTGAAGCAATACGTTTCATTTTCTTTTTAATACAGTATTTACAGTATTTAAAGCTCATTTTGTTCAAGATGATGGATATTTACTGAGTAGAATTTCCTGATTTATTAAACATAGGAGATTATGTTTTGTTTATTAGAGAAAATAGTGGGTATCACACACAGATCACAAGTAAATTATGAGGAATAAGTATTTGGCGACATGTGTGGTCAGTGGCTTCCCCTATTGTTAGAGATATCTGACACAGGGACAATCTAGGCAGTACAGTACTGTTGTAGAGTTTTAACTAGGATTATTATGGACTTTGCAGGAAGTGATTTACAGGTACAGTACATCCCAAAATAACGGAGGTTGACACAGTACTGTGTCTGCTAAGAATAAATCTATGTTTATAATACTTAAGGTATATGGGAAGAAAAGAAACTGAACATTGTTTTGGATGGATTAAGTACAGTATAAGCTGTCTCCTTGATGAGCAGCTGAGAGTATTGTACACTATTCTCTTTCTGCAGCAGAGGAGGGAGGGTGTAGGCCCAGCATCAAGGAAACTATACCACATTCATTATTAGTGTAAGAATCAACAGTATCCATGTGTACTAAACCAACGTATTATGGAATCCACTGGAAATGTGTGAGGACATAGTTTTCAGGAGAATTTAGTTTCATTCATCCATGCAAGTCTTGGCCTTCCCTTGGCTTTTGTATCGACAGTTTACCCATTAATATTTCTACAGAAACATTATCCCTGCATCTCTAATTAAATGACTAGAATGTTGCATTTTTAATATTCTATAAATTCCCAGTAATTCTTTCATTGCAATAGACAATCTCAGTACTGTACTTCTTTATTTGTTTTTCTCTCAGTATACAGTAACTGATACAGTACTATAGATTGGATATTGTTTTCTAGTAGCACTACATCTTCAAGGCCTCTAACCTCCTTTTGGTTTGTGGTGAGTACTGATGCTTGTTACT